CTGGAGTGACACTGTATTAAGTTTTCACTCGCCATAATGGAACATTCTGTGATAATGTTGGTTATGTACAGCCAGTATACAACCCTTTTCTTATTTGTCAATAATTATAAAATGTAAACAGCCAGTCCGATAATCTATTTCATGTGAATTAATGGTGATCATTTGTAAATATAAACATCGTGTTTGATCTGATACCTCACCATAGATTGATCTGTATGTATGTGATACCACGAATGTATTGGTCTATATTTTGTGGATGGAGTTCATTTAATTAAACAATTGAAAACAACATTTTTGTTGGTTTAGTTTTGAAACATATCAGAACATGTAACCCTCATTTGTTTAATCAATATTATCATTTAATATTTAAACAATATTTACACGCATACTATAAATCTGGGCTGGGGAAACGAGCTTGAAGTGTATATCATTTGGCTAAATAGATACAAAGACCAATTAATTGTCAAATTTAAAACATCTTACTGTATTACTGAGTATTTACAATCGGTGATGATAACACACCTGTATGTAAAATTATATAAAACACACCTGTATGTAAAATTATATAAAACACACCTGTATGTATGATAATTGAAAACACACCCGTATATATGATAATTGAAAATACACCCGTATGTACGATAATTGAAAACACACCTGTATGTAAAATTATATAACACACCTGTATGTAAAATTATATAAAACACACCTGTATGTAAAATTATATAAAACACACCTGTATGTATGATAATTGAAAACACACCTGTATATAAAAATTATATGAAATACACCTGTATGTATGATAATTGAAAACACACCTGTATGTATGATAATTGAAAATACACCTGTATGTAAAATTATATGAAATACACCTGTATGTATGATAATAGAAAACATCTGTATGTAGAATAGCATTTCCCCGATACATTCACACTTACCTGATATGTATAGTTATAAACTTGGTTATTAAACATTTCGACCTTCCGTAATAAACACTCGGTGTTTAGAAACCGTTTCTTTGTATAGTTAAAGACAAAAAATACAGTGTATCTCGAGATAGACATATTCCGTCTTAAAACTCTATCACAAAATCGAGCCGTGTTCTGAATATTACGTCTCACAAAGAAAACTTAAAATGCTGCTTTTTAGGAAAGAGCCAACCCATGAGCTATTATATGAGGGTTGTACAAAAGACACACAAGTGAGTTGCACCTTTGATCAAATTTAGAACTAACTTCAATTGAACCAAATAATAAAGTAACTGCATCATACAATTGTTTCGCCCTTCTAGGATTCGTAGTGATGCTACATCATACAGCTGTTTCGTCCTTCTAACACTCGTCATTAATGCTACATCATACAGCTATTTTTTGATTTTCTAGGACTCGTCAGTGATACTACATCGTACAGTTGTTTTGTCCTTCTATGACTCGTCGATTATGCTAGGGACTTAAATTTGGAAATTATGAAGCAACTAAGGAAAATTGATTAAAGAAAATATCCAACCTTAGATGGGGATACACACAATCAAATGATTGAGTAAATTCCGTAATGTTCCTACTTGTAATAATTAAACTTGAACGACAAGTATGTGTTTGAACCAAGACGCGACATGCTGTTTACGGACCAAAATTCCACCAGCAGTATCTACCACCTGTAATAAGAATTATGTCACGTATCAAAATAGCACCCTTCAATAATTATGGTAATGACTAGAACATCCCACAACTGAGTGATGAAATCAAGTACCTTTATCAATGACTTTGGAATGTCACAACCTAGGAACACATATCCAATAGGTTTCTTTTGCAGGAGCAACTCAACTCGGAACAGGTATTCATGACTTAGATGCCAGCCATAGCAGCTGTGATGATGGTAACAGGAATCCAATGACAGAACAGTCCCACAGCTTGAATGAGTAGATATGGCATTGTATTTATTACATTTTCCCAGTGAAATATAGGAATTTACGAACTTGATAAAAACTAAAAATCTTCAGAAATCATCATTATTATTACTTTTCTAATTCTTTTTATATGAAGCTTGACGTGTTCAATCAATGCTCATTCATTTGACTATTGGTTCCGTTTCTGAATACATTGTTCTCATTTAAGAACGTGATGTTACTTGGATTGTCCAATATTTACACAGCGGGTGTCGTCGATTGATGAAGAAGACGCTTTACTCTGCGGAACATCAGGGTCTTACTCCTTGTACGTTTTAAAAGGTATCAATGCTGATATTTTATCTAGTTTTATTGAGTTTGGACTATGATTCGGTTCACACGCTGGTATTTTCTTCTTGTATTTTGACCAATCATAGCGCCGCTTTTTAGTCATTGCATTGGAATTCACCGATTTTTCTGTTCGGACGTAAATGAAGTGAATTTTGAATAAGTTGGTTTTCAATTAAATGATTCCCGTATACATGTCTGGTTTCCTTTAACTTGGTATAAGAAAACAACGTTAAATGGTAAAATACAACTTAAAACTGCTTGTTCAAAATCTTCGTCATGCTGTGAAGAGTAACGTCACACTATCCGATGACAATGAATGAGCTGGTATTTTTACAAACATCTTTGAACGACGGATCAAGAAAATATAATACTTTCCCGTTAAATATCTTATATTTCACTAGTGAGACAGATTATAAAATGGTCAATGTCTGTATTTTAGCGAGCCTCTGGAGAGCCACTTTTGATTTTTCTGTCAAAACACAGCTTATATTTAAAGACACTGATCATGTATTCTGTTTAACCTGCAGCAGTGATTTAATCATTGTCTAACTGAATTTTGTCTGATGACGTGCGACTAAAATAATTGCTCCGCTTGGAAATAAAGTTACAAAATCTAACGAATATAACAGCAAATTTATGGTTTTGTATATCAATTTTATTATTTAGAGTATATATAATTGCTTATTTAGATAGTTATTAGTATTTGTAAACAATAAATTTAGGTAAATTCAGAGGGTTATGATACAGCTGTTTTCCTGCTTTGCAGAATACATATGTGGCAGATGTATTCCAACAATGGCATCGCCAGCTGCAGGATATAAAATATAGATATTCTGTTATACTCGTGTCATATAAATGGTACTATACAGGAAGTCATTAAATACCCTATATATAAATATATTGTTCTGATTGATCTATAAAGGCTAGCATAAGAAAATCGTCCTTAGAAAATTGCGCCAGGAAGTGTTTTGTTTAAATGTTTAAAGAACAGCAACATGGGTGATATCAAAATTCGAGATTCATAAGTCTACACGTTTATTGAAATAAAAGGAATACAGTTGAGAATTATTAGAAGTCAGACAATCGTCAACAGAAAGTCTAACCTTGACAGGGAACCTCGTCAGGTGATATGTATTTATGGTTATGAAATAGGAACAGTTTTGTCTTTTGATTAATGAACTGAAATTATTAACTCACATTTGACTCGTTTCCGTAGTTCAAATATTACATATATTGCATATTACCTTATCATAGAATAATTTCAATGAACAAACGACAGACCTGTCCTACTTTAAAGCGATCAAATTTTCTCTTCGTCTAAGATAATATGGCTGCACATTTTATCATATAACTATATTTGCTAATTGCGAGATAGAAAAATAACGTTCTTACCAAATTTATTCTGCTCAACTCTACTTCACACCATACCATATATAATATAACATACCATATATTACTATACCATACTACACCACACCACACCAAACCTTGTACCATGCCACATACCATACGATAACAAAATATTTACCAGTACAATTTTATATTTCTCTCCTTGAACTTTACTGCCAGTCAAGTAAATTGTCAAATTATTTTGATTAAAGTTGAAGTTGTTAAATTATTTTGATTAAAGTTGGGTTTTTTTCTTGTAACAAAGGAAGCGAGCATTTTGTATGGAGATTCCGAGTGGATATCGCTAAACGGATCGTTGAACAAGGTTTTCAGGCTTTCGTGAATGAATTGAAAAAATGCTAAAAGTTTTATATGATTCAAATAAACTCAACGAATACATACATTTATAATTTTACTCGCATGTCACCAAATATATACTAGTATTAACAAACCGAGTTAAAAGCATATCTGATTTCAAGTTCAGATAAATCCGCCTGTATTCATATTACCACACCTGTGCCTGTATGTCCTTTAGACTCGTCCATGATACTGATGATGTTGTTTCTTATTTTTGACAGAGGTTTTAATTTACACTAAGAATTTTAGGTCTATCAGTAAATTTAAATCAAACCATCCCTAAAATTTTGAGTCATAGACTTAAATGTCTCAATATGAAGTATATGAGTAAATTTGTTCACGGGCTCATTGAGTTAAAGAGCTTAATTCTGGTTCAGGGCTGTATATAACGATGTTGGTGATATAAAGTCATATAAACGTGCCGTTCTATAAATCTGGTTTACAATAATTGTTTGATACTAGCTTTGTAGAAGATTTTTGAACACTTTTCCGGTAATTATGTAGTTCCTTTAATTTTAAACGGTTTTACACCTGATACTGAGACAAAGTGTTCAAGTAAGTTTCATACTGGTACAGTTCTTGACGGAAAAAAATCTTAACATATATTCGAGCATTTGGATTATAGTTTTTATCAGCAGCATTTCTCCATAATGTGACTGTGCTGCAGCACTCTACGTTGTGAATTTCATTTGTTATTTTGAAAGTATTATAATGCGTCCTCTGCTTTTCTAAAGGCAAATGGTAAAATAGTTTTAGCTGTTCCTGTCTCTGACTATATGAGAATCTTACCACTAGAAGCAGTCCATCAAACTTAATCTGTTTTATTGAAGACATGGTGCCAATAATCTTACGTACAAGAAAAACAATAACATGCGTAATTAAACACTTGATGCAAAATTTCATTTTAAACTTTGCCGTGCGAGCAACCTTAACAGAGTATTGCAGCAGAAAGTACGAAACTAAAGTTTATAGTACGACCTTTGCCTAGCTCTGCATGGATACCGGTACACTATGAAGTATGGCTTCCGTTTCGAGCAGACTACAATTTGAGCTGGTGAAATGTTGTCGTCTCCAACAATCTCTGAAGAAGTGTGTGTCAAGGAACATCAGTTTTATTCAAAGGCGGCGCCTCGCTGGTTTCCCTAATGGAATTACAACGGACATATGTATACGTGTAAGATTCAAGTTGTCAGATCGACCTTGAGCTGTGTAGCACATGTGTTTCGCAACGTCCCGTTTTGTGACTGACCGTTATATTCTACAACTAGTTTGAGCATGAAAATAATTTTCTTTTGTTTAAGTATGGGCTGCGAGTGTAGAACAACAAACAAAATATTCACGTGATAGTGATAATGTATAACTTTGTCCAAAGTTTGTTTACACCACGATTCAGCACGAAACTGAAAAAAACGTGATTCAAAGTCAACAGGTTAAAGGTTATTACATGTAGTTCAAATGGGCACTTTTAAAATCAATGATTAAAGAAAAACAACAAAAATGGGAAAAGAAAAAAACCCATCGTATTGATGTATAAGATAAGACATGTTTTTTCAGCAGAGAGCTAATTGCTTGTGGTTGAAACTTTCAACAAGTAGCCCTTGGTCACACTCCCATATTACTCCTAAACAAATTTGCAAGATGTCTTTCTCCATCAGAATACGTTGGCCCCTGTTAAAAGTTTTTCACCATGTTGTACCTCTAACATTGCTGGAGTAACTCCCATCTATGCGCAATGGATTGAGTGACAGTTACTGCTTTGAATCATTAAAATAATGTTTAATTTGAAATAGAAACGCATGATGTTTATTAAAACATTTAACAAGACCCAATAACCATATCACAAAAAGTACAATTCACCTGTCTGGACTTTTTGTAAAAACCACCAAACTTTATCACCTCCATTGCCTTTAATGTGGATTAAAAGACCACAGGTAAATTCATACTCACTTTTGATATTTGCACGTAGTGTTCCCAAAGGCCACATTGTAGGCAATGGAGAAAAAAGTTAATGATATTTATTTTAATTTTAGCACAAAAATAGACAAGAGAAATTAATGTGTCTTATGCGAATATATACATTTTGTCACCTTGGATATTAGCCTTCTAAAAAATTGATACACCTATCTAAATAGGTTTTAATCACCATGGCATGAAGTTGTGATTTCCAAACTGGCATTTTGATTCAACTGATTTTGGTAGAGTAACTGCCTATTGATTTTTTTCATAAAACTAAACCTTATCAGAAGTTTTCAACTGACCTCCATTAACTTGTCAGGCTTTTTAATCATGTTATGAAATTGTGTTGCCTTGAAAAGAATTTTGATTCAACAATCTTTTTTGAGGAATAATTGCCCTTCAACTTTTTTCAGCATTTTCATTGTATTTGTAGTTATTCTCTGACAGTTTTTAACCAACTTCTTTGAAACTTGGTATTTGGAGGAATTAGTCCCCATTGTTTTTATTCTTGTATGAAGATCTTACTCAGCTTTTAACCAATTTCTTTTATACTATGATTAAATTGTGCTTTCCTAAACAGGATTTAGGTTCAACATTATTAAAAAAAAACTGTTTTACTTCAATACAATTTTCATAGAAAAATGTTTATGTTGTTTTTCTTTTTTGTTGCAGAATTCTTCACCAATGTGTTTATGTGGGAAGGAGATATTATCAAGAGAAGTTAGGTACTTCAGTGATAGCCTATTGTCTGACAATATCGGATTAGGGGGAGATAACCATGTATTAGCATCTCCTTTTGGTCTAGTGGAACCAGAATTAAATATGCTATGTTCAAATATAAAACAGGTGAGTCATGTTAGAAAGTGATGGTGTCATAAAATTTAAATGAATAAAGGCTTGACGTGTGTAGGCATATCTTATTTGGTAAATCTTTCTATCATTGATTAACACTTTGACATCATATGTCATGACTGTGGTCTTCCTCCACCCTCAAAATATTCATATTCATCTGACAAAGCTATAAAGTGGGAAAAACTTTCACAGTCATCGGTGCCAAGAGAGTTGGATACTAAAAACTACCTACATTTTTGCATCACTTTAGACAGATTGTGAAATTATTAAAAGTTGCAGTCAAGACCCTTTGATAAATAAACAAAAAATACTTGTATTGAGAAGCATGTTTTTTGTTTCCAAGCCAACCATACATGCAGGATTTAGAAAACGATAGGTTTCTTCTTCAGAAACTAACACCACAGAATGAAGAATTAGCTGATATAACACAGTACTATTTTGATGGCAAGGGCAAGGCATTCCGTCCCATGCTAGTGATGCTTATGGCTAAAGCTCTGAATGCTCATATGAAGAAATCAGACAGGTATGATTTTTGTCTGTTGTACATGTTAAGTATCTTAATAAATATGTTTTCAGAGTTATAGAACATATTATGTAAAAAATAGTCATAAAAATTGCACTTCATTTATTTGTTTGTTAATCTATAAACAGATAACGTGTACAGGTATTGTAAAACCTGACACATTAGTTTATAACAATGTAGTCACAATGTATGACTGAAACTTCAAAACATAGAAGAGTTATCCCAACCTGTGATGTAAGGTTATCAATAAGTAGACTGATAATTAGCTGTACATATTATACACAAAATGTACAGAAAATATTGAATGTATCGGTCAGGTTTATTTTAGAAATTTAAACTCAGCATGAATAACATTAGTCTTTCTCCATCACTTTAGTAACTTTATCTCTCCATCACTCCTGTCACCATAGCTCTCCCTCACTCCAGTTACTATAGCTCTCCCTCACTCCTGTCACCATAACTCTCCCTCACTCCAGATACTATAACTCTCCCTCACTCCAATTACTATAACTCTCCTTCACTCCTGTCACCATAGCTCTCCCTCACTCCAGTTACTATAGCTCTCCCTCACTCCTGTCACCATAACTCTCCCTCACTCCAGTTACTATAACTCTCCTTCACTCCTGTCACCATAGCTCTCCCTCACTCCAGTTACTATAACCCTCCATCACTCCAGATAATATAGCTCTGCATCACCCAAGTTAACATAGTTGTCCCTCACTGCAGTTACTATGACACTCTCTCACCACAGGTACGAATTTATTACCATAATTATTCTGTAACAAGCCCAAGGGGCTAACACACTACTTCTTTACCCTCTTCACTTGAAGTAAGGAGGAGGTCCAGGATTCCAACACATTACCTCTGGCTTAGAATAATAGAAAAACCCTGAAGGCCAACACATTACTGTAGACACAAAGTCATGAGGAAGTCCAAGGGCAAACACTCAACCTCTGACTTAAAGTAAGGGGGGTCTAGAGGTGGGAGGGGGGCAACACATTATCTCTGACTAAAGTAAAGGAATGGATTAACGGATTAACTGTAGGAAAAATAAACAACTTTTCTTGTTAATTTCACAGAATGAGATAGGTACAGACAGACTTACTACTAGAAATTTGTATGCTAACAATTTGGAATGCTTTAACAAGGAAATGAACTTAGATATTGGAAATGATTGTATTTGTGTGTTTAACAGTTTACTACAGAGCCAGAGAGAAGTATCTATGGTTGCTGAAATGATCCATACAGCAAGTTTAATCCATGATGATGTCATTGATGCATCTGACACACGCAGAGGAAAGCCTACTGTAGATAATTTATGGGGGCAGAGGAAGGTCAGTTTTGGCTATTTTACTAACTGATATTGGTGGGCTATTCAAATTGCCCTTTCGTTCATGGTCAGTGGTCTGATCGTCTGTCTGTCTAAACCATTCTTGTTACTGCTAATAGTGCTAGGAATTGGACATTATCTTTTGTATATTTTCCTGGGTTCCTTGTTGTGAATGTGTTAATGTACTTTTCCTTTTTAAGAAAAAATGAAAAGGCTGACATGCAACCATGTTTGATTCTGAAAACTTAAGTTTTTTATGATATTTTTATTTCTTGTGAAGCACTGGAGAGTTACTTCTTACCTTTCAAGCATATAGTATCTTTCCCTTGGTCAATTTTGGGGACTGATTAAAAAAAGCTAAATTTATTATTTTGAAATTTGAATTTTGTTATCCTTATTTCTTCAGAAGTACTTGAAATATCTTTTTAAAATCATACACAGTATGGACTCTGCTTGGTCCTTAGTTGTGCATAATCAGTTTTGTGACTGATTGGAGAAATGAAATGTCCAACTGGCTGCCATATTGGACGTTAACAGTTGAAATAGCACATTTCTCAAATTTAAAATATAGATTCTCCTTGGTCAAAAATTGTACATTATTAGCTCTTGGACTGAACTAAAAGACAAAGTGTCACACAGTTGGCAATATTGGATTTTGAAAGTAGAGATTTGTTGTTACTATTTATTAAATTTTATATGTCAGTTCCCCTTGGTCTTTCGTAGACGAAACAAAATGGCTGACCAAAGAGAAAACAATAGGTTAGAAAAGAGAAGAGAGTTAAAGATCCATCCTCTATAGACCCAATAAACGCCTTAAAATGGTGGGTTCCCAAATCACTTCGGGATCTCTTTATCATTACTCAATGAGTGCTGGAAGTAAGGTTTATTTTTGATGGAAAATGAATATTTGTGAACAAAGTATTATTACATCACAGCTTAGTTTCATTTAAGATATTTTATCAAATAATTTACTTTGAAATGCCAGCTTTTTTATTACCTGTTCATTTGCCTGCTGCAGAATTTATGTAACCAGACCTTACACAGTGATTATTGATAACCAAACAACAGAAATAAATATATAAAATCATTGATCTATCTGCCTGCCAATGCTCTGATAAATTTCCTTTTATAGTTCACAAATTTTTTTGTTGTTGATTAATATGCAAAATACATGTACATTGTATGTTGACATGGAAAAATAATGCCCATTAATACAGGAATAGTGTTGGTCACAACTTGGTCATCAAACCAAACAGGAAAATTTCCATTGAAACAATATCAGCACATCAACTAATGCTGGAAGGTGGGAATGAATGTAGTCTTTTCATGAGAAACGTGTTACAATCAGCTGTTCATAAAGTAATTTTTAGACTCTGACAATGTACACAGAATTTAGTTTTGTTTTCAGGTGAAAAATGTGAAAAGAACTCATGTAGTTAGTAACAAATATTCTTTGATTTTTGAACAGCTAAAGATGTAGAAGATTAGTCGAAGAATTTTTTTCCTCTCCAATTAATCTTATGAATCATGGAAATTTTTAATGTGTTTAAACTTTCCATTTTTCTCTACAGGCTATCTTAGCAGGTGACTATATTTTGTCAGTGGCTTCTGTAGCTATAGCCAAGATCAGAAAAGAAGAGGTTGTTTACATTTTAGCCCAGGTTATAGAAGACTTAGTACGAGGTTAGCATTTAATTTGATGAATTTCTTTCAAAGCATCAATAGTATATTACATCATTGATTCTGATCTACGAATGTAAATGCTACCAATATTTACATATTTGTCAGTTTTCACCAGTCAGATAGGTGACATTTAAATTCAATTTTCCTACCAAATCTTCCAAGTGTATCATTGATTAGAATAAGATAATCTCCTAATTTTAGGAAACTCCTCTAGGCAAGATTTTAATGTCACTGTGTCCCTTTGTAAGCTGAGGATGGGATTTATTGTAATGAAGATTAGCAGTCACACATAAAAGCTGTTGCTGAATATCAGTTAATTAAGTGAAATGGTTTTATGATAAAATCTCTTAGATCTCTAAGTCTGGCCCGAATTATTCTCAAACATTGAGCAATTTCAAAAAGTAAGAAAAGAGGTTTGTTTTTTTGCTTCATGTTTTTTGGTAAGAAATGCGATAAAGTATCCAATTAAAATTGTTTATGAAAGAAAACAATTCATATTTGACAGTGCAACTGGACAACTTGGTATGAAATCTTTGTTTTTTTCTTCATTAACAGGAGAATTTATGCAGTTAGGGTCTAAAGAAGATGAGAATGCCAGATTCAACCACTACCTCAAGAAAACATTTAAGAAAACTGCTAGCCTTATAGCGAATACATGCAAAGCTGTAAGTTTAAGGAAAAAAGGCATGGTTAGAAAATATACCCCAAAAAAATGTAAACAAATGAAACAGTTTATACTACCTGACAATTCCAGTGGTATCTAGTGCTCTGGTCAACATGATCAATGGCTGTCAATCAAATGTGGATTAAAAGCTGTTATGCATGTAGACTCATTTAAGGACTGGTACTTGCATATCTTCATGGAAGTATTATTCCACTAGAGTGATGACTGTAGAGCAAGCATAATTTATACCGGTTGGGCTTGTGTATATTTCAAATATCAGCTTTCAAAGGAAAAATTGAATTTGGGTCACCAGGATTTTTTTTTTAATCTGCATTTGAACTAATGCTCCAAGTACGGTTTTCTCAAGACTGCCTGTAAATTGAAAAAAAAAAATAGTGAAAACTTTGAAGAAATAAAAACTTCATTTTGTGTACTTGTATTTACTTAGATTCATTTCATTCCCTTAACATTACTGGAATAACAAGTACTTAAGTCAGAGGGAACAAGACATCACTAATATGTTTACATTTTTATTTTTGTGTAGGTGGCTGTCCTTGCTGAATGCCCAGATGATGTTGTAGAATTAGCCTATCAATATGGGAGGAATATAGGAGTAGCTTTCCAGGTAGATTGATATTGGAGTCATCTGTTTATACCTGTCATAGCTCCCTTAGTGAATGAAATTGGTTAATACATTACTAGCTTATGAAATGTGATATAGACAGTTTGTTACATTGTTATTGATTTTCTCCTTGATGGCTTTGATTTTACAGTTAATAGATGACCTACTAGACTTTACCTCATGTGATCATGTAATGGGGAAGCCCACCGCTGCTGATCTCCGCCTTGGATTAGCCACTGCTCCTGTGTTGTTTGCCACCAGTCACCATCCAGAGCTCAACTCTATGATAATGAGGAGATTTTCTTTGGAGGGAGATGTAGAAAGGGCAAGGGAAATGGTGGCTAATGTAAGTTTTTTTTTACTTATATCTACACTTAAATAGAAGAAATCTAAATTCATATTTCTTGTTGCTGTTTATTTTGCATAACCTGCTTCCAGAGGTACTTCACTGAACTGTATTAATGTACTATTGAATCAATCTTCACACTCACTTCACTTCTCGTATTCAAACTCTACCTTTATACTGTGAAATGATGTATTATTGTGAGACTCAAATTTCCTGGTTTTCCAAAAATATACATTTTTATTGACCCTTGAATTTGTGGATAAATCTTGATTAAAATATTCACTATTACTTCAATCCATGTCAACTTGTATCTTATTCATGAACATATAAATTCATTACACTAACTGGTAAACACAAGGCAGCAGAACAATGAATTCTACTTGTACTTAAATCTGAAACCCTCCATCCCAAAAAATAGATTTAGGGGGAAATAGGTTCTCCTCTGTTGTTTGTATGAAATGATGTAGAAAATGTCAATAGAATGTCTGAATAATTATGACTTAATTTAGTAAGAAATTTTACCAGTTGCTATAACGTCTCTTTATAGAGTAATGGGGTGGAACAGACTCGCATGCTCGCAGAGGAACACAGTAAGGAGGCAGTATACCAGCTTTCCCATCTGGCTCCCTCCACTTACAAGGATGCCCTCAACAATATAGCTACTGTTGTTCTAACACGCACCAAATGACGAGCGTAAACAGTAGGATTTATGTGACAATTGTATTTTATATTCTGACATATGAATGGTTGATTTGGTGCTATTTTTATTTGGTTTCGGCCAAATTAATATAGCATAATATTTTAGATGTGGGGGTCGATTAACTTTACAGGATGGGCTCGATACAAATTTGTTTTACAAAACAAAAAATTTGGAGATCAGAATAATAGTATATCTGCAATTATTAACTTAATTCACATTATTATCTGAACTTGTCTCTATTTCGGAATGAATATTCTTTCTTTCTCTGTCGAGTTCTAAGCCCCATAACTGTCTCAACATAGTGAGTTAATAAAAAAGAAAAGTGGAAATAATTAGAGACATCATTTGCTGTTCATCCTTATTGTCATAAAACTATTGATATTTTAATGGAGAAATGTTGACAGATGTCATTGAAATACAGTATTTGGGATAGTGTTAGTGCTTCTTTTACAAATGCATATTTTATTTTCCAGACTCTGAACAAACAAATGGGTCAGTAGGATTCTATTGTTACAGACATTTGTGATATTGTATTTTCTGTAAATACAGACTTTAGATAGATATATAACAGTTAGAATAGTTTGTCGGGCTGTTATAAACGGTCACTTGTGGATATGGTTTTTGCTGTTACGTGATACTGCTTATTTCATCAAGGACTTATGAAGATGATGTTTTAAGATATATGAACTTGTATTTGATAAGTTAGTAGTATGTATTCTGTAGGAATTTTCAGCGAAAAAAAAAAAACAACTACAAAATTTGAGCGAAAAAAGAAACCAGTCTTATTGTGAATTGCTTTCGAGTGACTGTGTATGAAATGATGTCGTCATTTTAGAATGATCTACATTTGTGTATCAAATAATTAATTTTTGTGTGGTCTGTGAACCTGCTAGGTCACTTTTTAAATTTTCCTTTATGCTATCCATGTTTGAATGGTCAGCAACATTTCATCTTTGTAACTTCTGCCTTACAGTTACTGCATATTATTTATTATGTTTTCAGGGTGATATCTAATGGGCAGCATATAATGTTAAGGGGAGATAATCAAGTAGACTGTTACATAATTGTGAGACATCAACCTTAGAAATTTATATGAATAATCAGAATGTGATTTTCTTTAAAAAGTAAAATACATTTAAAAGATTTCACATAATGATCATTTGATAGATCAAAACTGATGCATGGTGAAAAAATGATTGAAAAATAAGGTTCGAATGATGTATAAATTATTGGATTAAATTGATATGTGCTACAGTAAGTTCTCTAAAGTTTACCCTTTATTTAACAAACATAAATAAAAGAAACCTGTATATATGTGTAAGATTGTTTGATGGATGAATGATGACAGTGTTTAGATGAGTGAATGATGGCTTAGTGTTACAGATGGGTGAAAGATGACTTAGTGTTGTAGATGGGAGAGTGTTATGGGTGAATGATGACTTTATGTTGTGGATTGGCAAGTGTAAAGGATGAATAATGAGTTAGTGTTATAGTCAAATGTAATGAGTGAATGATGACTTAGTGTTGTAGACAGGTGAATCATTATCCTTTTGGTATATCTAAAGGCAGTGAACTGATATGCAATGACAAAATATTTGTTAGATTTCATATGTGTAACATTGTATACCCATCAAAATGCTTTTAACTGGACATTTTATGGACATCTCCTCCTACAGTTTTCAACCATTCTTTTTCAGACTTGGTAGGCTTATCACCAGACATGATTATGAAGTTGCTTTATCCTGAACTCCAATTTGATTTGGCCATATTTAGAGTTATTGCCCCTTGTTGTTTTCATAATGAAAATCTTAACCGGAAATCTGCCCTCGTTTCAAGCTGTTTCTTTTAGATTTGGTAGGAATAATAAGCATGACATGAAGTTGTATGTGGCAGAGTTATTGCCCCTTGTTTTTGTTACGTTAATCTTGTTCAGAGATATTCTCTCTTTCAGTTTTCAATGGACTTCTTTCAAACGGAGTAGGTTTCATAGCTATGAAATGATGTTTTCGTGAACAGCATCAAAAAACTCCACAGGCATTGCCCTTTGACTGTTCAGCATTTTCATGATCTCCTTCCTCAGTTATTGTTCTAATTTCAGTGAAACTTGATAGGACTTTAAAACTGTTACATAAAATTGTGTTTTCCTTCATGGCATTGTGGTTTTCAGGGTTTTTTTCTCATATCTAGGCCAGATATTTCCTTTCTAAGTTTCTATCTAACTTACTTGAGACTTGTTTTCCCTCAACCTTTTGACTCCTTATTACCGTTTCTGTATATTCATCTATTTAATACTGTAATTCAGGAATATTGTTGGTCCTCCCCGCTGGCTGATGAGTTGTTGGGATGAATCCTGACAAAGATTGTGAATAGAAATTACCTTGACCATATTCAAGTTCAACTTCTTCTGACAAACCAAAAAGTGCAGAAGCATTATATTTGACTAATAGATTTCAAGTAGAAATCCCAACTTATTTGTGAAAAGGTCATAGGGGTCAAATTTGTTAAAATATGGAAACAAATTCCTGTGATTAATCAAAAGGGGCAGCTGATGGTATTTGGCCGATCAAGTTCATAGGATGAAGCCTGACAAAGTTTGTGAAAAGAAATTACCTTGACCCATTTTATAATGTCACAGAGGTCTACTTTATTAAATCTTTTGAAAGACTATATTGATTACCTGCCAAAAGACTGTGAAGCATGAAACTTGGCAGATACCTTCATAACATGAAAATTGTTTTGAAGTTGTAACAGTGGGGTTGAATGCTCATGTATTTGAGATGAGCATTGAATACCAGGTAAGCAATTCAAGGGCATTGGACTTTTTTGCTTTCATCAGATCTCTTTAGCTGTCAACCTACCTCATTAAAACTTGATTGACTGCATTACCTTGGCACAAGTTATATTTTCCTGATTAGCATATTGATTGGATAATTTATGAGAAAATTATTGCGTTTTTTAGTTTCCTCATTATTCGGTTTTGTTAGACCTCTTCTCTCCCATTTAGTCTGATACATGCAGTGGAGTTATCTTAAGAGGAACTTCCATTTGACAAGTTTTGGACGAGTCATTGCTCCTTTCATCGTTTTTCTGAAGATAATTCATTTGTATTATTGATTTTACATGAAACTTAATTAGCAACACACATTGTTGAATTTCCAATCATACTTGGCAGATCATCTTTTACATTCAGTTATACGAAGATAAGGTAGTGACATTATTTTTACCCTTTATTAAGTATTTCAAAACTTTGTCTTTTACCCCTTTTACTGCAAAATCATTTATATTCGTGGGGCCCAAGTTTTATATATATATATAAAGATATATATATATATATATTTTTAATCTCTATCTCATGGACATTTGGTTTCGTTGATAAATATAGACCAATAAATGTACTTGTACTAACAGTTCATGGACACATGAATTTGCAGATTACCCATGAAATCCCCCATGAAAATTGATGATTTCACAGTATGTATTGCCCAGAGTGTCATGTCATTGATTTTATGTTTCATGTTTGCAGTCTGTATGTAGACATCTTGCTAATCTATGTAAAATACAGATTTTTTTTTACTTATCTCTTCAAGGCACAAATTCAATTAACATATTGCAGTAAAATTTAATTTTGATACTGAATATTTGAACTTGCTGCAACTCTTCATCTGAATTAATGCTCTGAAGAGAGGTTGTCATTGAATGTATTAATAAACATGTATTAAAGGGGCAGGCTGTTGAAAATGAGATCAGATAATTCAAAGTCCTCAGGTGTTGTTATATACATGTGAAATGTATACTGTCATTCATTAAATCTGTTTTTGATCAAGATGCTTCAAATTTCATTGTCTAAAAAAGTTTTGATATGAATCTCCACCACCACAGATATTCTATACTGGTGTAAATGAGGTATAGTCATGCAAGTTATTTGTGTACACATTACTGAACTCAGGTCTCATTGAAAAAAAAAACAGACTGCCAATCTACAAGTTTGTCATTGATTTAAATTACCTCTCAGTTATATTCATACAATGATTTCATTTACTTTTGTTCATATACAGTGATTATTTTAATGACAAAGACTGGCTTATTTCAATAAATTAAATCATGACAAATCTAAATCTTAATTTCTATTCTTCAAACCATACTTAATTTGTTTATTTGGTACATGTGGTATGGAAAAACCTAAATCATACAATTCATAAACAGAGGAAAGCATTGTTATAGTTTATGTCACATCAAATTGACTTGCTGCAGTTATGATTAACAATATTTTTTATCAGTACTGAGGTTTGATGTATGAATGCATGAAATTTAATCTCTTACCGGGTATTCAATATCTGCATTATAGAATCTTCACCATTAAAACAATCAGAAATTTTTTATTATGAGAGGCCAATAGGGCCTGTATCGCCCCTCTGATTTAGCTTGACTAAAATTGCTTCATCAAAACTAAAGGAAATTTTTTCTAATGTTTTAATATCTATTTCCCCTATTAGGTCCAGCCCCTCTGCTCCAACGGGCCATTTTTTATACAAAAGTCACACCCAAGGTTGTTTTTTTTACAAAATTTTGCCAAAAAAGTTTCATCCATTTCAAACCGAAGAAAGATTTTCCTCCATTCTGCCTTCTTGTGCCCCAGGCCTCAGTGAGGTCAGATCCACCATTCATACAAAATTGAGTTCCCTGACTCAAGGCTACTTCAATCTAAATTTTAACCAAATCCAATTTTTCCTACAGGGAAAACAGAATTCAAAAAGAACTTGCTATATTTCCAATTTTGGGCACCCTCCCTTAGGCCCCTAGAAGTTTAGACCTACCATTTACAAAAAAAAAGATTCCCTTTCATCCAAGAATATGCATCAGATTGGTGGTTGGGTGGCGCATTGGTAAAGCGCTCTCCCTTCACCTAGCTGTTTGGGGTTCGAACCCCAGAGTGGATTTGAAAAGGTATGGGGTCACCTGCTTAACCACGTGGGTTTTCCCCAGGTACTCTGGTTTCCTCCCACACTAACACCACTCGTACACTTCCATCAGAGCCAACAAGAGTGATTGATATAAGTTGGAAAAACTTGCTTTGCAATTGTTGTAAAATAGATAAAATTTGCCAATTCAAAAAAGATCTTTCCATTCCTTCAAAAGGAGTTTAAAGAATCTATCAAATTTCCCTTATTGCACTCTGCTTTTCTGTTCTGTACGTAGGGATGCTTCCAGTCAAATATGTGTGATATCCATTGCTTTGTACCAGAGAAGAAATCACTTAAACCAATAGAACTAAATATAGTAACCTTTGTTGGCCCCACCCATCAGTCTCCTGGGAGATCAGTCTCTCCATTTGCACAATTTTGAATATCTGCAGAAAAGTTTTCAACCACACGAGTGATATCCAGTCCATATAAGGTAGGGGTTGGGGATTCAGCTCGACTATTTGTACAAATTTCTATCTACACCTCATCTGAATTCTTTCAACCTCATGAGTGATATCTAGTACATAGATATCATTCATTCGTATAAGAAGTTGTTGCTTTTATAGCAATATAGACCAGTTTCCCCATTTGGCCCTGCCACTCAGCCCCACTATTTGTACAACTTAAATATCCACCACTGAGGTATGCTTCCAGTTAAATTAAGTTTAATTTGAATCATTGGTTATGAAGAAGTTGTTGACATAAAGACAATGGCAGTCCAGATACCACACTATAGCATCAGTTTATCTTTGTCCTTTTGACTAGGTCAGCTAATAAAGATAAACTAATGTATGCTTGTTTTTAAAATTTCACAACTTATATATTTCCAAAGATACCTTCATTTAGAAAAAAAGGGTGTACTGGTTAAAAACGGTGAATCTGATAAATGCTCCCCAAAAACGACATTACTGGACTCAAAAAAGGCTGATAATTCTGTAACTGAGGGGTTGCAAGCCCTGATATTAATATACTGCATGTTCTCTTAATATGCCTAATGTATACACCAAGTGTCATTATCCTACTTTTAATGCAAGCAAAGCTAAGCTAATGACACAAAATTTAAAAAAAGGTACTAAGGTGTCATGGGCCCAGACTTTGTCCCATTGCACCATGCCCTGAATTTAGTACACAGCACACTTTGTTAGTATGATCAACGTATACACTAAGTTTTATAATCCTTGGTTAACTGTTGGCAAAGTTATGTTCAGGACAAGAAATTTTGAGTAAAGGGCAATAACTCTGTAACTACAGGGTTGCAGGCCCTTACATTGGTACACTGCTTATTTCTTTGTATAATCAATCACCAAGTTCAATTCTCCTAGTTTCAATCTAAGCAATAAAAAGTTTTGCTCTAAACACATCATTTCAACAAAGGGCAGTAACTCTGTAGTTAAGGGGTTGTGGATCCTAAAATTGGCACACTGGACATCATCTTAGTATGATGAATGTATACACCAATTTTCGTTATCCTAGTTTAAATGTAAGCAAAGTAATGATCCAGACACAAAATTTTAACAATGTGCAGTAACTGTTATTGAGGGGCTGAGAGCCAAGAATTTGGGACACTGCACAACCCCTCAGTATATAAACAACAAGTTTCATGATCCTTGTTTATCTGTTGGCAAAGTTATGCTCCAAACAGGAAAGAACGGACAGACTGACAAGTCGGCAACTGTATGCTCTCCCAAAAATTTTCAGGGAGCACAATAAAATGAAGAAGAAAAAATAATATCATTAGCTATTAGTAAGATTCAAAAGATAAGCACTAAACAATGAGAAAAACAAGTTCTGATCATCTTGTTACTCTGACCTGTCCTGATAGTAATATTATCACTCCATTGTTTCCTGTCCGTCTTATCCATAGTCGTTTGGGGAAGTTGTTGACAGTTCTCATTTTATTCTCCATGAAGTTCCTGATACATGAACAGGAATCATAATCATTCCATTCCTCTCTCCTCACCCCTTTTCCTCATCTCATTTTTTCCTCTGGTTCAATAATTTTGTTTCTTAAGAGTTACGGTCATTTGATCAACATGTATTACTTTGTCTGAAAAATGTTACATTTTTCTGTCACCTAAATACTTTACAATGGCACAGTATAAAACATCATGTTGTGAAATCATTACTGTATTGATCCTTGGGGCCAATACATAACTTCTAACACAAATGAGGGAGGTGGGCTTATTATAGGACAATGAAAAAGCATTTGGTAATTATTCTATGATACAGCAATATACATGTTTATTATCAGACATTGGCTTTTTGCCTGATCAATACAGTATAAAACCGGGGTGTGGTATGTCAAAAATGTATCTATCCTGCAGAGGGTGTGGTGTATTGTCAAAAATGTATTTATCCTGTAATACAATACAATGATGTTTACTTATTAAATAACAATGAAACATTGGTTTAAATTTTTACCCAATATGTATTGCCAGATATAGACGTATTGCAGAATAGATTGTCTAACACCATCCTGCATCAACACTTTTAACCAATCAAAGACAGACTGAGAGTTACCACAGCTGTAAATGTAAAAGCTTGATAAAAAATCCAAATCTGATTATGTTATTTTCAACACAATTTTGACTTAACAACATTGATAAGCTCAGGAAACACAGAATTCATGAAGTGTCCACGGTCAGAAAACTTGTAAAGTTCGGGTTGGAGGCCATCTGCTACCTGCTGGTGTTCTTCCCATGGTATAAATGGGTCATCTGTTGACCCAAACTGTACTATAAAATCAGTATTGGCCTTAATTTTTTGCCATTCCCAAGGTCGGCTGTAGTACCCACTCTCCCGTTCATTTTCATCCCCAAGGTCTGTGACACATGCGGAGACCAATATAATGCCTTTGACCTTGTAACTTTCTGCAAATCTCATGGCAGCTTCAGCACCAGAGCTGTGTCCAATGATAACAGTTGATTCATCACATGACATTTTGTCACGCATGAATGGGATCCAGATATTCTCTCGAGCAGTGATAGGGTCAGGCATGTTTTGTAGGTCAGAGGTCACTCCAGATAGGTTGTTGATTTTCTCATGTGCCCAGCCATACCAGTTGGCATGGAATACATCTCCAGATCCATTCCCAGGAATAATGGCAACCTTCATTTTTTGCTCTGCAAAAGAAAACAGATGCATAGATGCACTTGCTGCTCTCTAACTATAGATCCAGTTCCTTTTCGCTAAAGTTCATTTCTGGTCTTCATTTCACTTTTTGTTTAGAATAATACTGAAACAATATTCTGACTACACATTTGTATTTTGAATAAAGAATTCTGAGTGTATATCTTTGTGGGCCAGGCCCCACTTGTATAAAACATCTCAACTTGAGATTTCCGCAAGTCGAGATTTTCCTCTATCTCTTCAAAAAACGGCTTGTATAAAATTTTCTCAAGGAACAGGAGAAAGTCCTCGGCTAGGATGTCCTGAAATTCCTTAAGGAATTTTCATACAAGATATTTTCAGAGATATCAGCAGAGAAAAATCTCGACTTGAGGAAATCTCAAGTTGAGATGTTTTATACAAGTGGGGCCTGGTCACACAATTTTATACACATACAAATCTTCAGTATGACTGAGCAGGGTTACACAATTTTATACCCATACAAACCAACAGCATAACTGGGGCCTGTCATACTATTACCACTGACCAAATAGCCATACATAATACAACAAACCCCACTTCTTTGAAATCACATCATTTGATATCTCATCATGCAGAGCTTACTACACTCTTAATATCGCTCTGACATAATAAATCCCTTGTTATAATAAGCTATGCATATATATTTTAAGCATTGAACTGTTTTAATTTGGCATTCATTGGCTTATGAATGCCAAAAAGATAAGGCCTTTTCAATGAAGCGATAACCGTTGAATTTGTATTTATCCAGTTGGTATTTATAGTCAATGAATACCAACTGAAAGCAATTCAATTCTAATAATTCACTGTTTTCAAGTTTCATCTTATCATAAGGAAAGACAACCTCAATTTACTTATATTACTTGGAATATTTCTATGCTGTTGGCAGTTCATGGGCTGGTAATACACAACTAATGTTGGTAAGGTAACATTGTGGCAATGCCATACAATGTAAAATATGCCTTTCTGTTTAATATCAGATTACTGGCAAAATGCTATTTATCAAATCTATCGAACAGTGTTTTCTATCTGCACTGGACGATGTCCTGATCTGGGCACTTATCAAGTTCAAGGCAAAGAAATATGATACCTGATCATCAAAAATGGGCAGTTAACAAAACAGGTCATCCTTTAAGTCCACAATCCTGGGTAAGTCGGGGAACAAGCAAACAAATAGCAGAATAGGATTGACAAATCAGGACTGCAAGGAAAATTCCAGACTTGGTTCAACTGACATTGTGCTCTTCCAAGACTGTCTTTGACTCTTTTTGTTATACAAGTTACCACTGACTGGTGGTGGAATCCCCTGAGAAAAGCACCAATAGAAAGTCAGCCAGCAAGGTAGGCCCGAAATTGTCCAAAGTACACTGAAGCTGCAGACCATTATAGGAAGCATTTGTGTTGGTAAATGACAACTGAACATTTATCATTCACAGCAGTGAAGCAAGGCAAAAGGTAAGGATAGAAAGACAGAATTGTAACAGTGGTCAGATCAGAGAAAGACCAACAACATTAAACAGAGTGACAACAGGGATTGTAGTCTCTTTCTGAGTGCAAGATAGAACCAATATGGTTCTCCTTTGTGCTCAGGTTTGATACATTGTCAGCATCAGAATAATTCAGCTTAAACCCTGTGTGGTGGCATAGGGAAACTAGTTCTATATAGCAGCTCTCTAGTATAGGAGATACAGATAGCAACATGACCAGCTTCTGGCTGCTTCAGCTAACATTCTAAAGAAAGATCAGTAGCAGAAGAGGCCAGTGACAGAACATCGGAATCTGGTGAGAAGGGGATACCCAACAACCACACCATTTCAAATCAACTTTAATCAGCCAAGAACTAACCTAGGATATCAAAGCAGACCTCAATAAATAGCGCTGGAAGATCTTCCTGATGGAGCTGACCGTTCCATGGGAGGAAGGGTGTGATGAAGCACATGAATTAACAAATGTTTATTGTAAAGCAACTTTAAGTTACATAATAGAATAAGAACAAGACTGCAGAAAATTAAATGATGAACATTTTAAAGAATATTTTAAATGATGAACATTTTAAAGAATATTCATCCTCAACAATTCTTGCAACCTTGAAAATGTTGGCATTTGTTGATTACTCTGGCATGACAAATTCAGGAAGGCTATGATAAAGTTTCAAGATCAGAAAACCTGAAGGAAGTATCTTGTAGTTAGTATATTGGTGAATTTACTGAAACTAGAAGGTTGCTCAAGCACATCTGTTGGTTAAAATGGGACGGCAAATTATTTTTACCAAAAATGATACAAAAACAAAAAAAAAATTGTTTGGTGTAATTGATATGAAAGGGAATACATTTTCTTCATTAGCACCAAGCAGGCCAAATCTTTAAGAAGAAAACCAAATACAGCAGGGTTTTGACACAAATAAGTGTCATTCAGGGTCTTGAGTAGTGGACATATAAGGTCTGTGTCAATGATGGTTTTCTGTGTGATGTTTTTGTATATAATTATGTATATAGACAAAAATTCAGGAAAATTTTATAAATACATTAACCGTGGGTGATATAACAGTAGAAGACTATGACATAAATAAGTTTATTCTTGTTAAAATACATCTATGATTGGTAGCATTTGTGAATATTGCATTGATGGTGCTGGTAATCAATTTAACCAGAGAAATGCTATTTTCATCCCTGCTTAAATATGCTATAGCAGTAATGATAGCCTTATTTCAGTAAGGAGAAAATAAGTTAATGATGTCACAAATATTTTCATGGATGCAAAAGATGCTCAAATATTGAAATAAAACCTTTAAGAGTGTGTAATAAACAAGTATAACGACAATTCATGCTAAACCTGGGTTTAAGGGATATAAAAATAATTTAAATGTTCTATTTGAAACAATGTTAATTGTTTATGACAGAGATTCATGGAGAAATGCATGATACGAACGTCCATTCGTCGATAGATAAATTAGTAAACTCGTTTGATTAAAACTACGGTAAAAACAGATCAATCGATAAATGGGAGCCATTTCATGGATAATCAAAGACATACATGCGCACGTATAAAAAATGTCATCGCGTAAAGTAAGCATATTAGTAGTAAGACACATGACCACGCCCCCATTCTCAGCGTAATACCAGAAAATGTCGATTATTATTTTTCGTCCAATACCTCAATTATCTAAGTGTCTGTAAGAAAGATATGACACATTCTTACTTGCATGTATAAGTTAAAGGTTATTCCTGCCTTCACGTCAAGTGACAGTGCAATAAATATGTGATATTTACGCAGGTTCCCACGAGCCAAACACATACACGTGGTATTGTTATTTTCATTGAAAACAAGTGCGCGCGCAAAATAGACTAGAACTCTGGGATAGCATTGATGGGCACGAATGGCCGCCATGATGGATTTTGTGAAACATTTCAAAAATGTAACATTACAGCGAGATTCATGAGCCTCGGACGACTATGTGAGCATGGTAGTAAGGCTCAACCAAATGTTGGTTGTGTATTCTAGTGGTTAGTTCCACAAAAAACTGTGTATTATTGTGATTTTGCCTTGATAATACAAGGCCAGCTACGTGGACAGGCTCATTAGCATATTTGAGGTCAGGAACGATGAGTAAAGTATCGTTTCGAGCTCGGGCGCTGGACGCCACGAAGGCAATGGCTATATTCAAGGCGGATGAAATACCTGACCTTCCAGACTTTGCAACGATCAACCGATCGGTGCCTCAGATGCCAACCGGAATGGAGAAAGAGGAAGAAACGGTACGCTTCCTTATTGAAGCATTCTCGGTCACTGATTGGCCGCCATATTGGAATGGCGCGTTATTCGCCATTTTTGTTTTAATTCATATTCTTATGGATATGCATCGTATATATGCATTTGTATAAAATCGTTGCATAATAACAATGACATTTTAGGCTAAAGGCACATGGCATTGTCTTATGAAGCATGGTTTTGCAGCTCAATATTTATTTAATCACGTGACCGTATGTTTATGGCCGCCATTTTGAACACATGGAATACACAATGTATTGTTTACTTTCGCGTGTATTCTCGTCAAATTATGTTTTGTGACAGTAAATAAACAGCTTGACAGCATATTAAACCCACACTTGAGACTATAATTAACTATTTTGCCTTTTAAAAATGTATGTTTTAAACATTTATTTCTCATCTGAATAATAATAGTGTTCGGTTCTTGGAAGACGTCCTGTTCTACTGACCATACTACGTAACAAAAATGTTGTTATTTCTAATTCATAGGATACCTGCACCAGTATTGTTTTGTCGAAAATAATATTAGTAGTTATTATGAAACACATGCACATATAGATGAACGAGAAAATTATTTAATTAGTAATTTGGGGCGATTGACTACTTGTTACCCATAATTGAATTATGTCCCTTTAGTCATTTGTGTACATGAATATACTATATAAATTTAGCTCGTACATGATAAAGAACTGTTGTATACAGGATTTGACAATTTATTAAAAAATATTTAGGGATGAAAGTTATAAGTTCTGGTGTTTAATAAGTAAGGGTAAGTTGATTTTAGTCGTTAAGAAGACTAAATACTTTGTTTTGCACAAAACTCCCTAGTTGAAAGCTTTTTATGCCAGTGTTAAATGTCTGCAAAACCACTTTGCTGTTACACAACAGAAACTCAAAGGATTTAAAACTGCATATCTTTATTGGTTTGGTGGGGAAAAAAACAAGATGAAGACTTTCTAAATAATTACCCCAACAAATCACTAAACCAAATGGTCAACAGTGATAATCTAGGAGGGGTATGTGGGCCCATCAAAACAAGAATAGACCCCAATGTTTTCCCATTGGTATTTGCATAGGATGGCAAACTTCTTTTTGACACCAAAGAAAATTGCTTAAAATGGTCCACTGCACTTGGCTTTTAGAATTTCCCTTGCCAGATAGTTTTTAATAATGCTAATACATTTGTTATACTAGGTGGTGAAGCCAAATTTTGTGGTTTTTTTTGCTTGTTGCTGGTGACTGGCTGTTATGTTTGTTGTGCTCTCTTTGTCCATGCATACTACCTGAGGATTAGGAGATTTAGTGTTTTCAGACTGGAAAACTATATTGAATATCTAGCAAAGTGTCATTGACATTGTAAAATATAATCTAGTATAAAGCAGAAATTGTCTGCAGAAGTCATTGGAAACTGTAAAACTCTTGCACTGTATATTTTGAATTGGGAACAGTTGGGTCTCAAAGAAAATGTTAGGAAAGTGATACTGCATAATAATAGAAAGGAAACAAGACTTGTTTATGTTGGCTCTTTTTTTGCTGTATATCCAAAATTGAGGTCCATTATGACAAATTTTCAAATTTGTCTTTATATATATGTATTATGAATTCAGTTGAATAACTTTAGCTTGGACTGTTGTGTGATTTAGTGAGAATAATTGTCTTGATATTTTTACAGGAACACCATCTTCAAAGGGCCCTGTCAGCACAGCAGGTCTATGGTACATCTGAAGCATTGGTCATCCCCATACCTGAGAGTGACGATATCGCTGATCGCTATGGCAACCTGTATAGGGACGAATTCAAGCAGACAAAACAGTTCATCCACATTCAAGGTAATGTTCATATGAGTCATGATGAAACATCTTTGAAGTAAAACAGTCTGTTTACAAGAAGTTGGAGCTTCTTGTGTGGTGTATTCACTTTCTTAATAAAATTCTAGTGCAATACATGTTGGGTTTAATGTTTTGTTGATACACAGCGCCATGTTTTGTTTTTGTAAGTGAATGATGGATGCAAATTGATGAGGGCATGGGAAGCAGTGATGTACTCCTGTAGTTTCAGTGTAGTAAATTTAACTCAAAATCAATAAAAGAGAACTTCACTTAATAGCATTGTACTTGTCAGCGACATTGAATCTGCTTGTGACATTAACAACATGCAGATCTATTGATCCAGATTTCTGACACAGTTTGTGCAATATATCAATATCAAAATACCCCATTAGAATATTGGAAGATGTTTTCTCCGTGTTTTCATCTGGCTTCCATGGATTATCCCTCTTTTAACAGTAAGTCCTAGTCATTTCGTTAGCATCCAGAGGAATGCTGTAAAACTTGTTACTATGTAATTAATTGTTCTTGTTTATATGAAACACAACTGAAATATACTTAAAGAATATTGTAGAGTTATAGAATTATTGATGGCAGATTTCTTTCAAATATTGAAATTTCTCGGTTCTATTTATGAATATTGTCATAAAATTGAAAAGAATTCAGTGACATAGATATTATTTGAAATTTGACAGTAAAGTGGGTTTTTTTAACTATCTATTGACTTAAGTATGTATAGTATGTATGCATACATACAACCAACCAATTGTTCCGAACAGATTTTTCTCTATTATTAATATCTGTTATAGTTCCAAATCTGAGGAACACTACTTGTTGTAAGAATAGTTATAGAAATATTGCACTATTCTTTGGATAAGATAGATCTACCCTTCGTGACCCACAAATTGTTGTGGTCATCCAATGGCTGTTGGATTGCTCCCAAGGAGTTTCAGTATCATTTAGTCATTTTACTTCTTTACCAGATCCTTTTGGTTTTATTATAAGATATAGAAATTACAGTAACATTTATTGATAAACGTAGTTTTTTGTATAATGTTGGAACTTGAATTGATGTTTATTTTGATATCTAGCATTTGGCATGGAACAAGAAATCCCAGATTATGATATGGATAGTGAAGATGAACTGTGGGTGAATGAACAAGCCAAAAAGATGGAGATAACACCACTCAAGTTTGAGGAAATGATGGACCGTTTGGAAAAAGGAAGTGGACAACAGGTACATTTTTTTTTTTTGTTATTATGTCAAAAGTCTTTAAAATGATTCTATAATTCCTAATCCCATCCCAGTTGACTTCAACAGGTCAAGTTCAGTATGGATTATCTGATATGAAGGGTTTTTTTTTTCCACAGGTTGTGACGTTACAAGAGGCCAAATTACTGTTAAAGGAAGATGATGATCTGATTATTGCTGCCTATGACTATTGGCTGAACAAACGATTACGCCTGGTAGGAATGGGTTTTTTTAAGTTTTGTATTCTTCCAACTTGAATTTCCTTTAGATAATACCATGTTATTTAGTGCACAAACTCTATGAGTTTGTCTGCAGAATATAATAATCATTGAGCTGAAGTATAATTTTGCCACAGTAATCGATTTGATAATAAAAAATGAGTGTCCTGTTAAATGTATTTATTTGTATTTATTTTTGCAGGAACATCCTTTAATTTTACAAGTGAAAACAGAAAAAAGAGATGGCTCAACTACAAATAATCCATATGTTGCTTTCCGGCGACGAACAGAGAAAATGCAAACACGAAAGGTAATTGATGTGCAGTGTATTAAGTCACTAAGGTTCTCTCAGATTGAGACCTATGTTTAAACTACTCTTTTTGTTACTACAGCAAATTTGAGGTTTATAAAAAAGGTTGCACAGTCTGTCATGGAACCATGTATTAAAGCACAACTGCAACACTTTTTGTTAGATTTAATTTGGCTCTGTGAAAGCACAACTGTTTATTGAGCATGGAGGAAGATCATTTTTATTTTGCAGTTTTTTCAGCGATGTAGCACTGGACGCTCAAACTATGTGTTTATTTCCTCTGTATTTTCATAGTAAATCTGGCCAAGTAAAAGACATTATATCAATGTGTAAGAGATACTTTGGTTGAGTGAAGGCCTTTGATGCTCAAGATTAAATATACTCCTGTGCTAGAATGGAGTCCTGATTTGATGATTTCGGTTTGTGGTAGAGTTAGATCCATTGACAAATAATTATATAATCTGCACTATATGTTTGATCTTTATTACATAGTTTACAGAAATTTTCTTTTTTTACGAGAATCTGCTAAACTCATGGTTATTGATAATAGAGATCTTGATGGAGACAAAGTCAAAAAGTTGTGTGTAGCAGTGTTTCAGATTGGGCCCGGCCATCAGCCAATGGCCGAAAAAAAATGGCCGAAAAAAAAAATGAATTTGGGACAAAGGCCGGAAGTATTTCAGGTTTTCAGACTAAATGGCCGATAAATTTTCCATTGAATAAGACGATAAATTTCAGCAATTAATCGGTTCGTCAAAATACTCTCATTCAAGGCCTAACGAATACAGTTCGACTGGATTCCGACCATCTATTCTCTGAATGCATGTCGTGGAAGCGTTTCTTAATCTTTCACTCAGAACACCTCGCCTAACCCTTCCAACGTAGTTTCTAAAGAAAACGACGAATGGTATTCCGAACGTTTCTATCGCTCAGACGCTTGAAACAAAAACAACATGACGAAAGTACATTGAAGAGGGCCAAAAAACGTTATTTTCTTGCGATGTTTCTTGACCAACACCAGAACAGGACGAAACAATTATAATTACCAAACAAGAAGAAAATAAAACCACGACAGCCAGAAAATTTCAGCAAAAATGGTTACAACAATTTAAATGGCTGATGTACTCTACTTCTGTGACTGTCTTGTGCATAAAAATAAATGTTTATCGTTTGACTGTGGCCCAAATGCTTTTGTTCTTTCGGACAAAATGGCCTTAGAAAATTTCAGTCTTTAGGACATCTGTCCTAAAGAAAGCTGGGCCAATCTGAATCACTGTATAGTATTCCAATTTTGAAATAATCATTGTAAATATATTTTTAGAGTGAGACAACTTTTCCAGATGTCTTGCTTCTTTGTGCCTGGAGCATGCCAACAGAGTAAATTAGTCCCATAGGGCAAATATAGTTGATACAAGAATTTCAAACCTGATCTGAAAAACAAATGATATTAATAACATTTAATATCTCATTATAGTTTTATAAAGTTCCAGTGGTTACTTTAGAAAGTCTTTTTGTCCAAGCAATTAGGTAAGAAAATATTAAATTTTATGTGGAAGTATTTAAGTACTGTATTGGGATATGTACCAGTAAATCCTCTAGGGTGACAATTGTGTGCACACAAGTGATATACTTGCAGTAAATGATGAAAATGACTGTTCTTGAATCTTCATTTTCTTTCATTACAGAATAGGAAGAATGATGAATACTCATATGAAAAAATGTTGAAGTTGCGTCGAGATCTGAATAGAGCAGTGTAAGTACCCAAAAATGATTGTTTGTTGCAAAGTAAAATGAATGGCTGTTGTCATTTAGCTATTCTGGGTCATTATGAAGGAAGTTAAAAAAAAAAAAAAAAATCACAAAACATTTCTACAATATATTTCGAAATTATTCATATTTCAGTGGAATGAGTTTGCACTTGACAAGATATTATTTATCCTGCCAGTCAGTCCATCACAGCCAAAGATATGATATTTGTTCACATGAAAATGAAGTATTATTCTGAAAAGATCCTCAATAAAAATGCAATGTGCAAATGCAGTCCAAGTCCAACCCCAGGACATTAACAAATTTGATCTGAAGTATCACAATGTGTTTTGTTTTGTGATTTAAAGAAAAAAGATAAGATAATGGTAGTCTCCATTTGATGTAATCTTCATGCATTGTTGGACAGAATTTTACTTTGTACTGAAAAATATTTCTTTTGCTCTTAGAACGATATTAGAATTAATAAAACGACGAGAAAAGACGAAAAAAGAGATGTTGCAACTTACTATAGAAGTATTAGAAAAAAGGTAAGTAAAAATATGCATTTTCACATAACTGAAATGTTCAAATGTCCAATACAGTGACAACAGAAGATGTCATGCCACTGTGTTCCAGATAGCCATTTTGTTGCTACAAAAATTGAAAAGGTCCTTGAGTGATCTTCTTGATCTGAATACTTGTCATATTTTTAGCATCTCCACCATTTCTCACACCTCTACCCATAGAGGAAACATTTGTTCCACTGTGGTGCACCAGGGAGACATATATTCTGATTGGGTGCAGTTAGTAAACTTAATATCACATCCCAAATAACATACTGATTTTCCTTCACAAGAGAACATCAACTGTTGAACCTGTGGCATTTTTCAAACTTTTTGAATTAAATTTGTTGTATACTTCTGATATACTGATCTTTTGAGTATACATTGAGATTATATTGGAAGTATGGAAATATTTTGCATGGTATTAGATTTATAGTAAAAAATCAAGGTTGTTTAACCTTCAACAACATTATATGTTCTATGCCATGAAAGGTAGGATTTCTTAATCTGCATACATATGTAACTGTACATGGGGTGTTCAATCAAAATGTTTACAATGAATGAATCTTGTAAATAAAAACATCAGAGACAAAATGTAAAGATAGAAAAGGAGACTATAGCTTCCAGTAGTGCATCAAAGCAATACATTTATCTAGTTGTGGCATATTATTTCATTGAATTAAAGTTTGTATTTTCAAAACCTATTTACACTTTTGTAATCTATATCTTCACTGACTTTGAATTTTGGATGAAGCTTTCATTTTTTTCTATCTCCAGGTATCAAATAGAAGACTTCAGTGGCACTATGCTACAGGAGGCTGAAGCATTACGACATAAGATGCCATCAACCTTCATCCCACAATATGCATATGGCTCTTCAGGCTGGGGTCAAACAGTAAGTTGATTCTTTAGTGTTTGCATGATTTTTGAAGTGCTGTAAAGATCAGCTGATTATTTAGAATTCAAAAGCAGTTTCTCCAGCTTTTGTGAGTTTTTCAGTAAAAACCAAGCAAATACTAAAGCACTTCATTGAACACCCTCTGGTGTTCCCGGTAACGTAGTGCTGGCTTGTTGATGCAGTATCATCAGAACTAAACAATTTTAAGGTTAATAATTATTTTTACCTAAGGTTATCACTTGTTAATGATTTACTTTTATTTGATGTTTACTTAAAAGAAATTATTTCACACTTTAGTACATATAATTTGAATGCTTCTCTTTGAAGTGTTTTTTTAAACACAAGTCAAATGAAATTGTTCTTGGGGTGGGGGTGGGGGTGGGGGGGAGTACTGCATGTCATGTTTATCACAAAGCATTTGTAGCTCCAGTCTTCAATAAGCCACACAAAATAACAAGCAGGTTAAAAGATCTGAGCAATGATATAACCCTTTGTTTTCTAAACATTGATTTTTGTTTGATTCAGGAGGAGGTAGTTGTGAGAAAAAAGCGTGAATACAGAAAGAGGAAACATAAACCAGTGCTGCAGCATCGTGAAAATACAACCGTCCAACCCACCCGTCACTTCACTGACATTGATGTCCTCCACACTGATGTCTACAGCTCTGAAGACGAGGGTTTATCTCCGGTACAAATGATTCATATGTTCTTGACTAAATTTTTAAAAGTAGTGCTATGAAAAAAGTTAATTTTACTATACAAGTGCTATGGAACACTACTTTGAGGAAATTTTAATAGTTGACTTGTATATATATTTTACAATGCATTTATAGTCTTTACAAGTAATGGTTTTCAGTAATATTATCAATTAAGTGATGTGATTCCTGATGTGGATTTTAGAAAGTAAGTAGGATATTAACTTTCTGATTGCATGAAAATATAGTTACAAAAAAAATGTACAAGTTCAGTAGTTTTGATGATTTGTTCTTGTCTTTTTGTAGGGCATGTCCCCATCTGACCATGAAGATGAGAATGATCCAGATGGTCCCTTTGCGTTCAAGAGAAGAAAGAATTGCAATTACTTTGCTGTAAGTGTTTTGAGCAGGGAATTATGAATTAGTTTATATTCTCAGTAACCTGCATAAACGCTTGGATTTGCAAAGTCAACAGGTATATACTTTTACTCTCGATTAAGACTCCAAAAATTTCTTAAATTTACCATATTTTCTTCTTCTTTGGAATTATTTTTATATCAAAAATATTTTTGTCCCGTTTTTTTTATTTATTGAATTTGAGTTTGGAATATGATGACATATTGGTATTTTCTGGATATTTTTTTGATGTGGCAGTTCCACTGAATCAAGAATTTACAGTCTTCCTTATTTTTTCAGTAAACACCTTACAATTCAAATAGGAAAATCATGATACTTGATCCCTTTTTCTGATAAAAATGTCCTTTCTTCTTCACTTGTTTCATTAATAGTTTTAAAACGGTTTTAAACGGAATTATTAAGAAAAATGAACTGTATCATTGCTGATAATACATAAGGTTGCTGAAAGTTTATTTTCAACTGATAAACTCCCTTTGCCTCGAGAAAATGATGCGATGCTGGGCTATGCTGTGTCCCCATTATTGACAGAAAGACATGTTGTACTTGGAAAGGTTCTTCCAATACATACAGCATCCTGTATGGGGTATAGTTTATTTTATAAACCATTAAACTGATCATGATATATCGTGATCTGATCACCCTTTGAGGACATGACTAATGTAGTCACAACGACCTTCACTTAAAGACCACAAACAATGATATACATATTATGTTTGTATGTTTAGATGATAATATACATTTATATAAGAATATACATTTATATAAGATATTCTTATTAGTATGGGTATAAGTAAAACTGTGCAGAGTGGGTGTATAATTATGTTCTTATCATGTATTTATGTTTGAATGATATACATATTGTGTGTAATAATTTTTTATGATAATTTGATTTTTCAAAAAGCAGATGAGATTTTTTTGTTTTATATTTATATCAAAAATCATATGTGATGGAATAATGGATGAGTTTTATTTAAAAAGCCAATGATATGTTTGCAGCCTATTTTAAATCGCCTGGGAAACTGGTCTTGGCATAGCCCTGAGGATGGTGGCCTAGGAGAGAGGAAGTACAGATATAACCTAATGTCCTTTTCCAGACCGCCGCGAACTCAGGGCTTCTGTCGGCGGAGGATGGGCAGGGGAGGCAGGTTAGTAGCGATTGATAACAACTAAGAAATGATATTCACCATCATATATAATGATAAATTCAGTTTCCCATTAACTTCTTTTATCCCTAATACAACACCTACAAACTTTCTTTGCTGTTTTTTTTTTAAGCTTTCTATGATGTTCAAGGGTTTTTCATATAAATCAAATTTATGACAATGGCTTTTACTTTAATTTATGGACAACTGTCATCTTTGAATATTGTATGTGTTAGGCATGTTGAAAAGTTCACATTTTGGTGAAAAATTTATTAAATAATACCTTATTTTCACAAAAAAGGGGCTTGAAATGGATCACAGAGAGGTTAATGTTTGAATGATAAAAAGTACAAAATATTGAATATAGAAATAAAAACATACTATCATCAGTATGTATCGATGCTCCTTCCATCTGCCCCTACTTTCCCCTTTGACATGACTTTCATGGTTTTTGAACTTGTTTGAGAAAGTAATACTCTTTATACAAGTTTTTCGGTCTTTTACAACAAAATTTTAGTACTCATTGATATTATGTAAATGTTACCACTGACTGTCCTCAAAATTATCAATGATGAGATTGGATAATGGTTCTTAAAATTCCAGCTTGAAATTTACATTTATGTTAGTTTTAAGACATTACTCATACATTTTGACTTTTATTTTTTAACAGAATATTGGTAGACCGAGCTTTCACACCTTGGGACGACGAGCTAAGTCGGACAGACTTGTCGTCAGGTTCCGGGCCATTTTCAGGGATAGTAGGGGATTACGTCACATATATCAGGGAAAGAAAAATGTAAGTTCGAAGAAAGTAGGTCACTTTGTTGCCTCTTTGTTTTGATTGATTGTGATGGAGTACTCAATCTATGTTAAGAAGATCCATAATGTGTTAAGGAAAGAGCTTGTTGAACAAATCTTGATGGTCAGAATGGCTGGCAGTTTTGTCAAAATTAATTATTTCAAACCTTGCTTTACATTCATAAGGCATGAAATTGAAATAGTTGCTAAGAAATGACTCATAGCAATTCAACAAAGTTAACATGGATAAAGTGGTAAGTCGGACAACAAAAGTGCTTGCTCTCATCTTTGCCAAGATAAATTCATCTTTAAATTTTACAGATTCGTTGATTTTTGAGAAAAGCGCGATGCAGTTCTGTCAGTTGGATGTTTTGATTATAATTAATACAAATATTATGAATTGTTCTTTTTTAACCTTTTGTAGGAGCAATGTTAAATATTGATGTGTTTTTTAAAATCTGCCTGTTATATTTGTTTTCATAGACCACATTTTCGTCCACATTCACCGACTCTGGATGACATGACTTCACATGGGTCCAATGTTACTAGTGCTGAAGAGGAGACTGAGTTTAATTTAGAGAGCTTCCAGTCTCATCGTGAACAGTTACTGCAAATGCAGCGGGCCCAGGAAGAACAATTACGCAAGCAGGACACACTTGTTCTGGACAGTTCGTGTAGTAGTGAACTTGATCATTCCTTTTCTTCTCAACCCACCTCAAGATTCACACTTGATTCTGAAAGTGCAAAATTTGCAGTATCTGCAGTACTGAATACATCTCAACTTCAAAGTGCAACAAAAACTGGTGCTAGTACACAGTCTTCATCATTGACACCTTCATCGTCTGTATCATCAACAATATCAATAAAAGCCATCAAACCAACATCCTGTGTGGCTGTAGTGACCACACCTTTGCCAACAGTGGCAATTTCAGCAGTGTCACCTGCAGTCACGTTGTCATCGCCTCTGGCATCCGTTATCCCAACAAAGACTCTATCCAATGGACCTATATCAGCACAAAGTAAGACTACAAAGTGTTGCATATGCTTAATCACTATTGTTTTATTTAACGGTTGGTGGAATGTTGCAAATTTTCAGCCCACCGTCATCAGATGAACTGATCACATCGCCTGCTGTGTTACATCTGTAAACGGTTCTTGTTTTCGTTATTTCTTGAGAAGTACAGAAGGGGTGTTTGTAAGACAAAATATGTAGGTTCCCATCTGTCCCTAGTTGTACACTTTCAATTTTGAGTGATAAGTGAAACAGAGTGGTGGAAAAGCTTGTTTGTTATTGCTATTTTTTGAGAAGTAATTGACAAGTGTTTCTCCAATGTGATGTGTAGATTCTTCTTGGTCCCAAGTTGTGCTCTTTAACTTTTGTGTTTGCTCGAGAGTGGAGACCACCTTTGATTTAGACAATTGCTCTTTCTTAGATTTCATTTGTAGCTAGTGTTCCATTTTATCAAAAGATTAAAAGGTAAAAGGAAAAAGTGCATGAAAAGATAAGCCTCGCATAGAGTCAATAAAGATCATTCCATGGTGGGTGCCAAGATTCTTCTTGGATCACTTTGTTTTCAAGGCTGAAAGTAAAATGAATATAAATGATGACATGTAAGGATTGTGGTGACAAAGAATATTGTGTGGTGATAAAGAGTATTGCTTGATGTTTATTTTGGCTTTTGATGATTACTTTTCAGGTCAGAAGGTCACATGAATAGAAAAGTTTTTCCAAATATTGAGTATTGTTGAGCAGCATTTACTCAAAATTAATACTGTGCTTTCTCACATCTCATGGAATGTAAATTGGTTTCCACACAATATATGGAGATCTGTTTGGTCTAATTCACTTTAACCTCATTTGATACTTTTTCATTGGCAGTGCTTTCAAATAAGTACTTTTCTGATCTGAAGGTCAGAGGTCACAATGAAATATTGGTTTCCATAAGTATCACCAAGTTGGGAAAGTAATCCAAATTACCGGCGCCAAATCAAACATAAATTGTTTGGAAATGAGTAAGTGTAATGATGGATTGAAAGAAAGGACATACATTGTATAGGTTTTTAGGTCATGGAACATGTGTCATGACCATGTATGTTTGTTTATTGACTTTTGTTCTTTATTTCAACAGATAAAATCACAGGGCTTTCAACATCACCAGCCGCCACAGTGCTACAGCTAAACTTTCCACTCAACAAAAACAATAACTCATCGCTTCCACCACTGACTACCACCAAAAGTTTGTCTTCTAGTCTAACTTCCTCCTCATCGTCATCATCATCTGCGTTCACGCCAATCAATTCAATATCCAACAAAACTGTCTCGGCTGTCAGCTCAAATCTCCTGAAAAATTTCTCTAAAGCTGCACCATTGGATAGTATGAAGTAAGCAATTGTTACTGTGTGTGTAGCATGTGAGATAAACAATGCTGAAATTATAGTTGTTTATCCACTTCCTTGCCGGACTGACAGTCTGACATATTATATTCCTTATGATAACTGGTATTATCTAGGTTAGAATCAACTTTGAAAACTAACATGGAAGTTGGTGTTTAAGGTAATGAATTCTATGTATTTACATAACTTCTGTCAATTTTCTGTACATCATCAAAGGTAATAGATTATTTACAATATGGTTCTATTTTCTTTCTAGGCAGAACCATGACGATGTGAGTCATCTGAACAACATGAATAATATGAACAGTATAAAGCATGATATGGCAATGGATGTAACCTGATGGTACAGGATAATCTCGGTCGACTGTGATCTCTTACAGCCCACAAGTAATGGCACACCAAAGCCAGCAACCAGTGTCACCACACTTTGACGTGCCGGTGTTGTCCTGGCCTTAGCAACAGATTGTATTGAGTGATGGAGGAGGAAGCTTGGAGTTGTTATGATATAGGGGATATAATACTAGGTTTTTAGTGGAGTTACATCAGGAGCTAGTAAAGAAAATCACATTTTGGATAATATATGTTGATCTTAGGCTGTATCTCAAGTTAATTTCTTCTTGCTGATTTTAGGCTGAATATGTGGCAAAATGGGGAACTTCTGAAATTCCATTGTGCATGAGAATAAACGATGTCTAGTATGAAAATAGGATTCTGCAACTTTTAAAATTTGTTAGTGATGGAGACTGAATACCTTAAGTTGTCAAATTTGTAAGAATTTATGCACTGAAAAAGTGCAAGTCGCAAAAAGAACATTTTTAAAATGTTTAAATAAATGTTGTTAATTTTGCACATGTAGAGCAATAATTTTTCAAAATTCCTTGAATCAGAAGTGATATTATAAATAATGTCTCTTTGTTAACCCACCTGTTGTTTCTGTAAACCAAGCATTTATTTAATCAAATGTATAATAGAAACAACTGCACTGTGAAAAGCAAGTGTTAGATACAAGCATGAACAAAAGCAAATATTCCATCATTTCTTTTCAAGTAATCTCATTTGATGATGAAGTTTTCATTGTGTAAAATAGGATCCAAAAAATAATTTCAAACTATTTCAAGAGTAGGTTTACTTCCACAGTTCTACAGTGTAGATAAATATATCAGAAAGTGATGTACTTTGATTCTGTTATTTTGTGAATGTGAAACTATTTATACATGTATTATATATTGTATATCTGAAGTCATCTTTTAATAGATATGTGAAAAGTTTTGCCAACTTGGTTTGACCCTGTACCAAGGCTCCTTTGTGCTAAAGGGTCAGTTTTATTACAGATTTTTGTGAGTCTTCTTTCCAGAACCTATTCCAATACACTGCGCAAAGATGGTGTGAAGTGTGATGTAATTATTAAGTCCCTTTGACTTCCACTTTGAGGTCATATTTGACACCTACTTTTCTATATCTTGCTAATACTTCACAGGGATAGCCTGGTTATAAGCGATTTTTCAGTAATTCTAAATACTTCACAATTATTGATGCTTTTCCGACAAGAAAATAAAGAAATAAAATGTTGCATCATTGAATAATTAGAATCCATGTGAATAATTACATAGTAAATGTGTGAATCATCAGTTATTTATATAAGATGTTTGAATTGATTCAGATTCCACAGTGTTTTCATATTATGATACAACTGAGTGTTTAAAGATGTATACTAAAAAGTTGTTCAAATCAGGGCTGTCTTTGAAAACATTTCTCCATTACTGAATTGTCAAATAGAAGCAAAAAAAAATTAGCTTGTTAATATGAAGAGAACTTCAGAATCAAGGATATATTTATGATTTAAGAAGAACTTCTTAAAGATCGTGTTACATGTGAAAACTACTACAGAACTAAGTGTACCAAAGCAGCTTGACAGACCTACTAGAAGTAGATCTGTAATCCTTACTCAAAAGTTTGCATGGTAGATTGATCAAAACACCAGATTTTGCATAGTTTGTGGTGACTGATTTTTTGTTCAGTAGTACATTGATTTGTATACATACTGGTGCACTGAGAAATTGTACTCTGCCTAACTCAGCAAGCTGTTCTACCTCATTTTGATACAAGTGGAAGATGTTGATTGTAGATGTACACGAGTGTAGCCTGTGTATGAGACTATAACAGGTAAAGCATATAGGACCAACACAAGAATAAGTGAGTCCTTCAGTTGATGAAATTTGTATGTTGTTTTGCAAGTCAGAAAAACTTTGTATGTACAATTGCAGGTGTTAAGTCACACCTTTACAGATACAGCATACACAAATAACACATGGACACAAACAATACATGGATAATTGTGTTCTTCACATGATGAAATTTGTCTGCGTGTTTTGTAAATCAGAAAACATTGCAGGTACCATTTCTGGTATAAAGTCACATTATTAGTCACTTTTGGATATGGTTTTATTACAAACAGTTACCATTGATGATCCGTAGAGCTTCTCTGGCCAGGAGGATGAATGAGCGATGTCATGGTGCAGTGTTTGTTGTCTGGCATCAAACTGCACTATAAATGCAACTAGTCTAGAATCACAGAAGGAATTGTGTTTAAATTTGATGGGAGTACTTGAAAGATGAATAGACTTTCAAAGAAGTAGAGTGTTGGAGCCAAATAAGGCAAAAATAAGTAATATTTTGAGTGGTTAAATCCTTAGAGGGTGGTAAAGTGGTTTGATGGCAGAGAGGCTACACTTGTCTTTCATCGAAATGGACAGAATTTGATTCTATGGGGTCACCTGCTAAACCATTTGGGGTTTTCTCCTTGTACCCATAGTTTCCTCTCTGAAAAAGCTGAAGGTACTTAGATCCTGGCAAACATGAAGGATTAATATCAGTTTTTGTCTTGTTTCACAATTGATGTAAACTGTAAAAGGTTTATATTTACATATGATATATAGGTTGTTCTACATGTGAATTTACATCCTGGGTATTGGTTATGAACTTTGACTTAATTTAGTCTTGAACATCACTTATCAAGGAAATACAGCTTTTAACTTAAGTACTCCAGTAATAAACCTTATATATTCTGTCGGGGGATAGAGATGTGGAAGTTGAGGGTGTGAGGCAAAGTACTAGGGCTCAAATAGAAAATAGAGAGCAAAAATTTGTAGCAGTAAATTAAAGGTCTGTCAGGTGTATTAAATGATCGTATGGGACTTGTCACTAAATGGAGTATTATGACCCACAGGGGATAGAGGTGTGTGACATAATAGGGTTTTTTTTTATAGAGGTTTGTGAAACAAGGTGAATTTCAGTGGGCAAGGAACTGGGTCTATTAGAATTGTTTAAAAAAGTTTTTCACTGTTCTCCAGTTACATTTGTTGTACTGTTAAGACTTTATATACATGTATCATAACTGAATCAATTTAAAGATGACCAGATTATCTATTAAGGCCTTGTTATTGTATACATATATATCTTTTTTCACCGTTCTGATTTTAAAGGCTAGCATCAAGTGTATTTGTAGGAGTCACAAAAGATGGTACATTTTTTATTTATAAATCTTCACAGATGCACCTCTGCAATGTAATATGACAGGTAGAGTGACTGTACCATAGAACCTGTTCAACATTAGTGCATCTGGCTGTTATTGTAATGCTGATTATGTTTCCATACAGAAGAAGTTTTCTTCATTACAATGTAAGGATTTTACAAACCATGTCTCTAACCAATATATAAGTTGTGTTATTGAATAATTGATGAAAACCTATCTATTACAGGACAAGAGAGAGATGAACATTTATGTAATGATCATGCACTTTATAGATTACATTTAAGGGTAATGAGAGATATACAGTATACAAAAGAATGGGATGTGTACCAACGATATCATCTATTGTTAAATTACATCTGTTATACTCTGTACTTTTATTAATTATGATCAGTGTATTGGACTTTTCTGAAGAGCTCTAAGGATGTCTAGAGGATCTCTTATCCTCTGGGATGATACAGGGTTATGTGGTCAGAAATACTAGCAGGTGCAATCAAGTTTAGAGGGGAAATGTTTGATGTGATAGTTTACCATATATACAAATGTAGTGTGTGACCCAGTACTAATGAATATTTACTGAAGAGGTATTTCCAAGTATTTGAGAAAATATTGGATAGCAGTTCAAATTTATGAGCACGTGTATTTTGATTGTTGGAGGAGAAAAGAATTATGATGGACAAATAATAAATATATCTGCAGCAGGTCGAGTGAGAATGAGAGAAAGAAATAATAGTGTGAACAAATAAGTTTTGCATGATTTATGTACAATATGGTGTTTCTTTAGTGCTTTTTGAGTTTATTGATAGACAAGGGCTCCCTTGGAGTAGAGTGTGTGGAGAAAACATGTATGATAATGTGTGTATGACAGCATGATGTAATGTATGCATGTGCAATTGTTGACATGGTATGTCAAAGATTAATGAAAAACAAAAACAAAAAAAATCTAATGTGTTCAGCTGTGATACTGTCAGCGTTGTGTACGACGCACAGAGAAAAACTTAAATTACTGGAAATAAATATTCCAAACTAATACTCTTCTTGGTTTTTGCTTTTCCATTAATGATAATGGTATGAAGTTTATTTGTTGAACCACCCAGTACAAATAGACAGACCTCAATGTGTTCTCTGCTAAGCCTGATTTAACTGACACTACAGACCTGTTATCCCTTGGCCTTCATTACCAATAGGGCTTTGAGGATATGTAGATAATCAGAAAATCGGTAGTAATATTTGTTTTACTGAAAATTTGTAGAAATCATCGAAAGTGCCTTAATGTTTTGTCAATATAATTTAATCAAATGTTAACTAGGATATATCTATATTTTTCATTCTAATGCATATTGGTATCATTTGATGAATGTGCAAAAGTTGTCGAATGTGACCTGCAATCGTAACCATGTCCACCCCAATATAAGGTCAGGACTTGATTCTATTGGGTAAATATAAAGCAAGTCTGTTGAGAGGTTTTAAGGATAAGACATTGGTTTAGAATAGAAAATAACTCTATTTGCCCACCATCCACATGTATAAAACGCAGTTATCAGTTTAAAAACATTCCACATTATTTGGAAACAGTAATGTTTGCATTTCAGTCTTAATTTAATTCAATTCCTTTAAGCATCATTTGGGAGGGCCCAAAGAAATGTTTGACCAGACATCTATTTGTCATGGAATAATCACGATGGGGTCCAATTGGCTAGTCTGATAAAACCACCATAGGGCATTTAAGGGGCACATTAATTAGTCGGAATAGGACGGAAAACTTTGGCTTTACAAATTACCTTTACCTATGATTGACTGGAGTTATTGCCCTTCACTAACGAACCTTACCAATTTCTCATCTAAACTTCTCAAGATGAAGTGCTAACCAACTGCAACTGTCAGTCCAATATGGCCACCTATCTGCTATTTATTAGCCCACCATCTAATAGATGGTGGGTTATTCAAATCACCATGCGTCCGTGGTCCTTGTAACTGCTATTTCTGGAAAAGTGCTGGAAAAAATATGCAGTTGTAATTGTACCATTTTTGGACTGCTATTTCTGGAAAAAAAGTTTGTTACCGCTATTTCTGAGAAAGTACTGGATGGATCTTCCTCAAATTTCATATGCAGTTTCCCCTTGGTCCCTAGTTGCCTGCCGACAGGCAGCCATCTTGGATTTTGGAAGTAAAAGTTTGTTACCGTTATTTCTTGGAAAGTACTGGATGGATCTTTCTCAAATTTCATATGCAGGTTCCCCTTGGTCCCTAGTTGTGCATTGTACCTTTTTTGGAGGTGGCCATCTTGGATTTTGGAAGTAAAAGTTTGTTACCACTATTTCTGAGAAAGTACTGGATGGATCTTCCTCAAATTTCATATGCAGTTTCCCCTTGGTCCCTAGTTGTGCATTGTACCTTTTTTCTTGGATTTTGGAAGTAAAAGATTGTTACCCCTATTTCTTGGAAAGTACTGGATGGATCTTTCTCAAATTTCATATGCAGTTTCCCCTTAGTCCCTAGTTGTGCAATGTACCTTTTTTGGCCAACAGATGCAGCCATCTTGGATTTTGGATGTAAAAGTTTGTTACTGCTATTTCTTGGAAAGTACTGGATGGATCTTTCTCAAATTTCATATGCAGTTTCCCTTTGGTTCCAAGTTGTGCATTATACCTTTTTGGACTGATCCAAAATCAAGATGGCTGACAGGCAGCCATCTTGGATTTTGAGAGTAAAATCTTGTTACTGCTATATCTGAGGAAGTACTGGATGGATCCTTCTGATATTTCATAGATATTGGTTTCCCTTGGTCCCTAGTTGTGCATTGTACCTTTTTTGGACCGATTTGAACTCAAGGTGGCCCACAGGCAGCCATCTTGGATGTCGACAGTAATATAGCACCAGCATATTGTCCATTATCCACCTGTAACTGACTGCTATCTAATGATACTCTGGGATCTTTTTCAAATGATATTTGCTAATAGGTGCTTAATAAAAATATCTAGTGCCATCATTGAGTACATTCAATGAAGACCAGTTCATGAACATTAACAACACCTGCAACAAACAAACAAAAATAAACAAATCTTCAAGAACTGAAAACAGATCCTCAAATGGTGGGCGCCAAGATCCCTCTGGGATCTCTTGTTATAATTTCTTTTCATGACAGCATGTTGCCACTTCGCTTTTCCAAGCAGTCCAAAAATGGAGCATGCACAGCTACAGGGACAAAGGAGAGTCCACATGAAATTTGAGAATGATCTACCCAGTATTTCTGAAGAAATAGCAATAGACTTTCATTGTCAGAATCAAAGATGGTCGTCTGTCAGCTGTTTCGTTTTTCTAATCAGTCCCAAAGCTACAAGGGCACATTAGGGACCAAGGTGGTCTACTTATGAAATACAAGAGAACTATCCAGTATCTCTCCAGAAAAAGCAACTATAACCAACAACTGTTAATGGGATGGGCGATGGACCAAAGATGTGGGCAACTTTGATAGGCCACAATTAAAAATAAATCATGATTGCCAACTTTAGGTTTAAAAATATAGCTTTATTAATTGCAGTTTACACTATTTTGTATTCATCTATTTTGTAAAAAGTATAAACAGCAGGCGCATATATCTTGCCTTCAACTTAATGTTTAAAATGTGACAGAACTTTGTACACCACATCACACAACCATTACACTTGTAAATACCTACATAACACATGTGGAACTAGCACACATACATCCACACATATACCTTGCACATGCTAAGACACAACTAGTGGAACAAGTGTTGAAATAAAATCACAAAAACAAACATCAATGCACCGCTTCATTTACTTGAAATTTTAAATCTTGCCTTGAGGAGTTTCAGATATGTAAAAATAACATGGACAAACAGTATGTTGATTTGAGGAGACTGGATGTTAATTACCCCAGTTCTCATAACTTCACATCTCATACTAAAGTAAAAATAAAATACCTTTATTTGTGAAGTTGGAAAAAAAAAGACAGAAAAATGCAAATATTGTGAAATAGGAGAAAAGAGGAAAAGTTGTTCTGTAAATTCTATATGTAAATATTTAGAAAGAAAGAAGACAGGAAGAAAATGCCATTGAAAATAAAGCAAATATGAGATAGTAAATATATCACAAATATTTAGGTGGTTGCCTTAAGTCCCTTAGAACATCTTGATGTAGTTCATTATTACCATTGAAATATCAAAACCAATAGCTCATCAGTTGACAAAAATCATATAGAAAAAAACATTGATCGTACAGAAAAACTGCAAACATATTTTTTATTTTTCTCGTAATTGAAAATAAAATGTTGCCTCATTTCTTTTCTGTTGCAATTTTGTATCTGCCATTTTGCCTTTTGTTTTAAGTTGGTTGAAATAAAGTTAACATTTAACAGATTCAAAAGTTTCAAAAATATAAAATGTTAGAGATAAAATATTATCCATTAAATGGAACCCTCAACTAGTTGTCTCGCTATGAAGCATTCTTAAAGCTCATTAGCTGACCAACATCACACATAACTTTACTTTCTCTTTGGTTATATGTAAAATCAAGGAGCAAGTCTTTGCTAAAAAAAATGTGACAACATTGTTTACAAAAATGTAAACATAATTAGTATGCATGATTTACATTGTATTAATGCTACTTCACTGACAATTCTTTGTATACTTCAATTTAAAAAAAAAAAAAAATTGTTTTACACCAGCAATTTTTCTGACAAGCTTGCAAATTGTTTTCATTGTGTTTTAAATTTGAACCAAAGTAATTTGCAAGCATTTTAATATTGCATATGGTCATTTCAGTAATTTTGTCCTTTTTCACAAAGATAATTCATTTTGGACGAAATATGATTACACCAAGGCACATATCTTTCACATCCTATTCACAGACTACCTAGGTATTTGGCATTTATAATTTTGTCATCATTGGATATCCTTATTTTATTTTGGGGTATGAAGGGCTGCAATGATACTCCAGAGAATGTCCCTGTAATTATACATGCATACTAGGTAATTTTGTGTTGATAACTATGTCAGTCAAATCAGTTAATTTCTTTGTCATTTTTGTCAATCAACATATAAAATTCATCTTAAATTTCTCTATTTTTCTTTTTATCTCATTAAAATAAATATATGCATATATCTGAACATAAAACAAACATTTAAAGCTTCATTATGTATATCTTAGAAAATGTGTATTGATAAGCAAAAGGATAATGCTTGCATCAATACTGTGTAAATGTAAAGAAATTACTGGTCAGATCGCAGCTATTCCATCCTACATAAAAAATCCCATGTTCTAACCTAAGCATTCCACTTCTGTTGGACTATAACTCAATACAATATTTGCAGATATATTTTGGCAGAGCTCAAATATAGATTTGTGTCATGTAAATCATTACCGGTATACATCTTAAAGAGTTCAAGCCAGCTTCCCTCAGACAGAAACAATCATTTTTATATACATATGTTCCAAAATTCAGAATGTATTAGAAAAATAGTTTTTCTATGAATTCCAGAAATATAAGAAGTTTTTAATGACTTCTGTTTGGGCGGAAATGTATACATCTTAAAGAGTTCAAGCCAGCTTCCCTCAGACAGAAACGATTACTTTAATATACCAAAATTTAGAATATGTTAGAAAAATAGTTTTGCTGAGAATCCCAGAAATATAAAAAGTTTTTTAAATGGCTTATGTTTGGGCGGAAATGTAACGGACAGATTTGCAAGGCTAAAGCCGAAAAGGCTTCTGCTAAAGAGGACTTGAAACGAAGGATATTAAATATATCTAGACTATGCAAAGTCTTGACACAAACATTTATTAAAACATATAAATATATATCACACTGTGACTTTAATTGTTCGCATCAAGTATATTGCTTCTAAAACACAGTATTAATATTGATTATAAAACACACAAGTTGTAAAAGGGTTTTTTCTTTGTATTCATGCTTTTCTATATACAGAGTACAACATGGAAAAAGGGGGAAATTAAACTCTTGCTAAGGTGTGTTGTCACCATCTGAAAGAGCTAACACATGTGTATATACACTTCAAAAAAACAAAATTATCTCCCTTTATCTCCAAAGAAGGCACTGTCTTTGCTGTGTCATAAGCTCTACTTCAACTCATAATACTGAGGACTTCTACATGATCCAGCATGCTATAAAACTAAAAACACTATTTCAAAGTGCAGTTAAGAATAATAATACAAGCGGTCAAAGTTTACATAAAATATTTGGATTTAATATTTTGCGAGATTTTGGCGCAATAGATCTATATAACACTAGAGACAGATCTGATTACAAGACATTAGATCTCTTATATTTTTTTTCTTTTTGGTTATTAAAAAGCACAAAAAATGAATATCCCTGAGATGTCAAAATGTGTATAATTGAAATGTAACTTTTTATTATTGCCAAGAAATGTTGATCCACATTATTTCTGTCTAAAAAAAACTTTGCCTCTGATGAATGTTACATCATGCATGAAAATGAAACTGAAAATAATGCTTTTGTTTTGAACACAATTATTTAAATAAGATGAAAATTCAGATGATAATGTTTAAAAAAGTGATTAAAACATAAAATAAAATCACGAGCAAATTATATTATTTCATGGAGTTATTTCCCCTAGTCCACAAAAACGTGATTAAAGTTCTCATATTTCATTAGAGTCCTTTCTCTCTTGGACATTCAAAGTCATATTTTACTTTAATTGATAACAATAAAATCACTACCTAGTTGATATTTCTTTAAAAAATGCATAGTATGTGTTCACTCACTTCTTCACTCACTCCCACACGATATAAATAGTCTTATCAAAATGCATCTATCAATGTGACAAAGAGTTATTATTTTCTTATTAAATTTCTCAATTTGTTGTTTCCAGTTCATCCATAAACAAGACATCTTATGTCTGAACAACAAAATAAAATACAAGCACTAACCCTGAAAACTTGACAAATCGTCATGGAAAACTTCCATTTCTTGTCAAATACATTAAGATAAGTTAAAACATATTAGGAACACACTTCCATTATTGTGTGAGATTATTGATTTTGACTGGCAACATATATCTAACTGGTATATACATTTTGTGAGACTTATCACACACGTTTTGTGCTGAACACACAAATATATATCACACACTTTGGTTTGCGATACCATTAGAAACATTTTCTGTGGTTAATCATGCAGCGTTGGTGTTTGGTCGCATGTTTGTAACAGTTATCTATGTCTCCTTCCCAACTGACAGAGAAAATTCTGATCTGCTGGGGCTTGATTCACTTGATGGCCAATGATAGCCAGCACTAGATTGGTGACACATGTCAATGACAGTACAGTGTTCATTTCTTCTTGTCCCATTCTGTATCACTGTTCTCCTCTGTCAATCAGTAGCACAACAACTATATGACCTTGTTCAGATGACCCGTGTACATGGCTAAACCACCCATGTAAGGGTTTGCTCCATTCCCACTGTGTCTCCTACAGTTGCTACAGGGAAGGTACTGACTGGGGAGTCTTATTTTCAGGAGAAGGAAAGAGACCTTTTCCTACGTCATTGTCTAGACTTTGGTACAAGTAGTAGTACTATTATGCTCAGTTAAAACTTGTTTCCTAGTGCTATTTACACTGCTGGGCCCATTTCGGGAGAATTCTACGTCGTGCATTGGTGAACCAATAGTTGATCTGGTTGATTGTCAACCCTGTCTGTTTGATCAACATTGCTTTCTCATCATCATTAGGGTAAGGGTTGTCTTTGTGTTGTCGAAGCCAGTCCAACATGATAGCCACAGCCTGTAAAATAAAAGTTTATATTCAAACAAAGATCATTAAATGCTGCAAATTGAAACCAGAACACTGCCACTGTGTAAACAACTAAACAGTACCATGTATTTTTATAATTCTGTTATACAAAGGTTTTATCAAGTTACATTGAAATGTTGCTGTGGTGAAATGTATACAGTGTGTCCTAGAATTGAAGCCTTCACAAACTAAACCAGAAAATTATCCAAGCCACTGAGCCTAAAGAATCATTGATCATATATTGTGATGTAATGTTGATATTACAAGACACACAACAATTTTTGTTACTGTTTGGTTACTAGACACACCCAAGAAAATGGATGTCAGGAATGCAGAATGTATTTTGCAAATTCATATATGAATGTGTGTTACAATTTGGCCACTAAAAACTACTTAATCATTTACAAACATACCATGACTTGATTACTGAAAAATCATTAACTTCAAACTTATTTTTGCAGAAAATACAGTATTCTTCCCTTGTTATTAAAAAATTAGCAGAAAGTAAAGCCCCCAATAGGCTAGAGATAGACAAATATTAATGATTTCTTACCAAATAATATAAACAGTAAGGTAACTTGACTGGTAAAGTAAAGACAGCAACAGAATTTTATAAACTAGAATATAAGATCTGTTGCATAATATTCCCATTAATTATAATAAAGCACAGTAATCAAGTTCACCTCAGCTATGCCTTTTACATCACATTACTGTTATCTACACTTATCTAGTTTAGGCGACATATCGGACCATTTATCTCCGTCTGCGTCTATTGTTGGCCCCTGTTAATGTAGCCACAGCGCACCCCCAAATACTACCTTGACAATCAATCTATTGTGTATTCAACGTTGAAGGTAGACAGAAGTGAAATGTTGAATGAAAGTTTGACAATCTTTACTGATAAGAGGAGGGGGGAGGGAGACAGTTCCCTTCCTGTATATGTAGGTAAGTGGGATAAAGAGTTAAAAACATCTCAACATAATAAATACAATGCAGCATTAGCACTAACCCACCATCACAAGATAAGACTGATACATATAACTTTAATATCTTAATTTTGATCAGGTCTGTGACAAGACTATCCCATTTCCTCGCACACAATTATCATAACAAAAATATTTTCTAAATGAGTCCTAATATAGAAAAACATACAGGTAACTTTACAAAAGTTATAAGCTAACTGCACAAGTCCAGCACTAAAATTGGCAGTTTTTGTAAACAGCTACTGATATCAAAGATCAAATTCTGCTAGCAACAAGTACGTCTTACCAATTTACCAGTAATATAAACTCTATTTACTTTACAACAACTGTGAAAGAAGCTATTAGCTTATATAAACCATTGATGAAAGTACACGATGGGTGTTATTTAGGGAGAAAACCACACTACCCAGGGGAAACCCACAATTAAACTCTCTATCTTTCTTACTAAATTATTCTGGAAAAACATGTTAAACTTTTAATACTGCCTATTGTATCATTAACAAAGTGTTGTAATATTTTGTAACTGTTTAATCAAAGACTAAGAGAGAAAAATCCCAGTTTTAACTACGTGAACATTATATAGTAAATAATTTAACAGGTATCAGGACAGATGGAATTCCATTCTAATCTCTCGTATAAACCAAAAGCTCCAACTGTGCATCAGAATTTTTAGCTATATCACCTTTGGCAGCCCATGTAAAATGATTAGGGCTGGGCTAAGTTTGAATATATTCATTGCCATAAACACATATATAGAGTAAGGAGGGGGTAAATTCTGGTCACACCTTATCACATCTGTCCTGCAACACCATCAAGTTAAAACCGGTAAGCCCCTTCTCTGGCCTCTATAGAATAGGACCCACCCACACATGCTTTGGTATGGCGTAGGAATAAATCTGCTAAAGAAACTTTGTGCCAATTAAACTGCCTTAGCGGCCCAATGAAGATTGTACAGCCCCTTAACAGCATGTGCCCTTATAATTCTCCATCCAACACATTACAGGTATGGCGAGCTGTAGCACTATTTTCTAACTATCTGTCAGTTGTGACAATCACATGTATGGTGTGGCCATATCTCACCCAAACAATCACAAAACCCCTCAGTAAAGTAACACTGGAGAGAAGACTTACAGATATCTACCTACTATTAAAATATCAATGGCCAATTGATATCGCAATAATTTGGCCATATCCTTCCTCATAACATCCTACCCTACAATAACACTGGTCCCATCTTATCTGGCCATATCCCTCCCTACTATAACACAGGTCACATGTTATCAGGCCATATCCCTCCATACAATGACACTGGTCACATGTTATCTGGCCATATCCCTCCATACAATGACACTGGTCACATGTTATCTGGCCATATCCCTCCCTACAAGGACACTGGCCACATGTTATCAGGCCATATCCCTCCATACAATAACACTGGTCCCATCTTATCTGGCCATATCCCTCCCTACTATAACACAGGTCACATGTTATCAGGCCATATCCCTCCATACAATGACACTGGTCACATGTTATCAGGCCATATCCCTCCATACAATGACACTGGTCACATGTTATCTGGCCATATCCCTCCCTACAATGACACTGGCCACATGTTATCTGGCCATATCTCTCCCTACAATGATGCTGGTCACATGTTATCATGCCATATCCACCCTACAATGCCACTGGTCACATGTTATCTGGCCATATCCCTCCCTACAAGGACACTGGCCACATGTTATCTGGCCATATCCCTCCCTACAAGGACACTGGCCACATGTTATCTGGCCATATCCCTCCCCACAATGCCACTGGTCACATGTTATCTGGCCATATCCCTCCCTACAATGACACTGGCCACATGTTATCTGGCCATATCCCTCCCCACAATGACACTGGTCACATGTTATCTGGCCATATCCCTCCCTACAACATCCAACCCTACAATAACACTAGTCACGTTATAATTGGCCATTGTGTCTACATCATCAGTTCCTACAATAACAATTAGGTTTATATCCCAAGTACGCAATTCAAACACATAGAGTCAAAACATTCTTACCAGAAACTCCAAGGAAACCTTGACAAGTATTTTATACAAATTAATATAGACTTTCATTACATAAAGTTAATAACATGACATAGGACAGTTAAAATACTGTTGTCAGATTTCTGTTATTTTCCCCATAAAATCAGAAACAATGTAAGAAAATATGTGTCACAAAAAGATTAAGGTTGATCTGACATATGATGCCATTTCTCTGCCATTGAGCCCTACTTTTGTTGGCCTAATGATACAATAAAGCAATTACAAAAAAAACTCCAGCATGTAACAATCCACCACATAGCACAACAAGAAAAAAAAAAAAAAAGTTTTTTCCATCTTTTTGTTTTATCACCATGACCTTGACTTCTTCCTGAATGCAGAGTTATTTCCCTTACCAAATTCACTGAAAATTCCGTTCACTTGGCATCAGAACAAGTATCATAATCAATTCTGGCTAATGCATTGTTCTGTAATTTTCATGACACAGAATTCCATTCCCCTGGCTGTACTCTCTAATATCATATTTAATTTTGGCTTATCTCCCTTCCCTAATTTCTTGCAGACACAGAAATTCCTGTCGAATTTGCCAGGCCCTGGCTGCACATAGTTTTGATATTTTTGCATTGTTCTACCTGCTGTTTGCCTGACAAGGAGTTTTCGTAATGTATAATTCTGTTAAAATAGTGTAACAGGCCTAGTCATGGTAAGGAAGAAAATGTACAGGAAGTCCAACCATGCTCAGCATCCTACCATTACGGCAAGATGGCATCTCTAAATACATATGGCAAATGGAACAGCATACAGAAATGTTCAACAATACACCAATACAAATTGAAGATTCAACCACATGTGATATCCAAATTTCTAAACTTCACAGCAATTTAGGCAAATGATTTAGTTATTTAGCATAAATTTGCTGTTCTAAAATATAAGGTCACTAAAATTTGAGGGAATATTAGAGTGATTCACCATATGTCAGGTCAGAGGACTAGTTGTTGGTATTCATCACACATAACCTTACCCATGTTACCTAGCCTACCATCTCCTACAGCCACATGTCCCTCTACAAACCCTCATCATCTACACCTAGACTCAACACAGCATCTCCACAAGTCCCACAAAATAAGGTACACTTAGGCAAGAAAGCAGGTCATTTTTAAACTGGAAACTGCAACTTTAGATTACTTTCCTATCAAATGTCATCAAATTGCTTGGAACTTTGATTTTACTTCAATTATATGGACAGCTGTACTTTTAGCTGTTGGTATCTAGAGAGCATTACATCTCTAACATACATAGAGACATTGATGGCTGGTTTGGATATTAGGAAAGCATTCTCTTGTCCTAGATCAGGCCAATACACAATACATGTACTACTACTACTACTACTAATGTAGCTGTCCCTACATTCTGGTAACAATAATTCAGGTCTCAAGAGGTAAATATCCTTATAATTTGATTGCATCAATAAATATCTAAACAACTTTGCTGTACAACTAATTGTAAAAAATAAAACAAATATATCTCAAATCTCAGTTTTTTAAAGATAAGAAACACTCTCAAAATATCTCAAACTTGTTGATTATATTTCATAGTTATAAGAAAGCAAGCCAGATATAATTTCTTATTGAGAAGTTGAATGGTATGTGTACCTCTTTTGGAAGACTGGGGTGTTTCTTGGACTCCGACTTAATAGAGTGTTGGCTACTGCTGCTAACCATGCTCCCATTGTCATTACAGTCTGATAAGTCCCTGAGAGACTTGAACTGGGGCGAAGCCATCCCCACCAGATCTAAACCTTTCTTGGCTGCTGGTGATGAGAATATATCCCCATGGAGCTGGAAATATAACAAGTACTGAATTAAAGGATGAATATAAATCTGGAATAAATTGATTCAGTTTGTGATTTACTGCTTTTACTGATATTCTTTTCACAATTGTATTTACCATCATATCATTAAGGCCTTTCTGTGGGGTACCCATGGTTGGAGTCATACCCCCATCCATCGGCTGGCCTGTCATGCTTGTTGATGTGACACCAGTTGTATGGTTTGGCACTTGGAATGTCGCAGGCTGGAAATGAAAAGAAAAAAAATACAGTTAATGATATTATCTTAAATAATTATAAGGGAGAATGTAGACTATTTTCATAGCAGGTTTGTGATTTCTAAAATATGTCCCTTTTTAAAGAATTTTTTTCCTCTGAAATTATATGAAAGTCAAAAATGGAAACAAACTCTGACACAACTGCTGTGTGACATAACCTTCACTTAACAAAACCTTCTGACTTTCTTGGTAACATTTTGACACATTTATCACTTTTCTGTATTTCTTTTTTATATAGATGAATTATCGTGTGTACATTGTACCATTACATGTATCAAGCATAACATAAATTACACAATGTCTTTTTAACAAAATTTTTATATTGTGTTGGAATGTTTGAGGTAGTCCATTATTATAGAGTACAATATCAAACTAGTGGTTTATAACAGGTTCATTTAAGTGAAAAGAAATTGAAATGTCAACTTATCAAAATCCATATGTATATACCAAATAAAGTAGAAAAGTTGTTAAGATATTTTATATAAATCAATAATTGTGAAAAAGTAGAGGAAATATACTAGAATGAGAAAGACCAAAAGTGCTGTGCTATTCCCACTAAACACAGACAGGATTGAACACCTATAGCCTGTAATGCTACAAAATAATTGATCAATTATGACTCAACAAGCACCAGGGCTGAATTGGACTTAAAACGGTAGGTAAGCCACAGCAGACGCCTGTCAAACTGAGTCCTATGTATATCTAGATATAGATTACGGAAGACTTAGCGTTGATTGACTTGTGTTTTGTGTTGTTTTCTATAACTGTGTGGGGTCTCTCCACCAAGCAAGCCCGATATATCCTTCAAAGTTATGTCTAATAACCAAATCACATAATGACATATTCACAATATCATCCTACAACTGCTGGTCATTGTTGGCAGGTCACGGTTCAGAGAAGTGGAGGTAAAATCTGGCCGCTAAACAATAGTTAGGTCGTATGACAATTACGTCACTCGATGAAAATCTTCAATTAACATGCTGGTCTTCTGATTGTTTCTAAAGCTACATATAAAGCTCAGATTAAGGCAAAATGAATCCTTTTGTCCCTGATAAGGCAAAGTGGACTTGACTTTGTTTAGATTCAGAATGCTTAAATATTGCTTCTATTGGTAACATCAGGCAGAAGTGGGGATTTTGATATTAGTGGAAGAAAAAATCCTACAGGAATTTATAATAAAATTTCAAAATTGTTTCAATGCTTTATCTGGAAAACTAATCTGGATCATCTGATAATGTACCTAGGTTTCAGAAAAAGTCAATATTTCATTTATCACATAATCCTATCAGTATGTTTTACTTCTATGAATTAATTGTTTTCATGACTCCTTATTACTTATGAGCAAAATGGCTCCATGCCAACATGTATAACAGTATACCTGGATATCAATCTTTCACTCAAAAGGCATACTTCATATTATATATTTTTTTTAAAAAATCAAAACTAGTTTTCCAGCTCCTAATTTGTTGCTCCTTCTAATCATAACATTTCTTATCGATTGCCAGATTTAACCCTTCCAACCCCCCACCCTTCACCCTAGAGTAAGGAATAAGAAATCAATATTTCATTCAAATTATGTTTAAAATGGCCCATTGTCAATATTTTTTAAACGCCAACTCCAGTAAACATGGGTGCATTTTGATAGGTCTTGATAACATTTTAAACCAGGTTCTTGTAAAACTAATTGAACCCTAACCCACTAAAGTACGAAACTTCTCCCAAAACAAAAACATCTCCTCAATTTCTCGATTTTTTATCAGGTAATTAGTTATTTTTTATGGTGTGCACTCGGAAGTAGGTATCGTGGCTGTGATTAAGTTGGCCAGAAATCACTGCTACATATAACACACCACAGATTCTGGTCGCCCAGAACTGATTACCAAACTTTAAATATCTCAATTTTACACATGTTTTCTCCTCTCGAGGTTCGTGCAGGTGTAACACAACAGGGTCTAGTTTTTCTCAAACTTAGCTCTTTTTTCAATTCAACATCTTGATTTCTGTGTTCATAAAGAGAATCATACATGGACATTGCCAAGAGTACTTATCACTACCTCGGCTATATCAGATACTGTAAGTTAAAATGAATGAGTGAACTTCAGGTTCTTGGTTGATAACATAAATTTTTGATGTAGTTTTCAGATTTTCCTAGTCAGTGCTATCCTTTCTTATCTATAATACTACAGTATGCATAGAACTGTCTACTACACCTTTATTCCTTCAATAGTAATATGCCCTGGAGTTTTGCCTATATAACCAGGTGTATGCTTTTCTTATATAATTGTGTATGTATTGTCTTATCTGATTATTTGTATGATCATATGTGTATAATCATATCTGTTTTCTACTCCATATAACTATGTGAAATAAAGTCACTTAATGTGCTGACATATAGCCTTATCTATATATAATGTAACAGAGGTCATTATTAATTTCCATTCCTCTGCTTGGAATTGAACCTGGGACCCCTGGCTTTCTAATCTGATGCTCAAACGATCAAGCTAAAGAGAAGTTCAGCCTAGCCAAATGGTATGTAGTATTTACCAGGGTTACAATAAGTATGTAGATAGAAAAAATGCCCCTTTAAACATGTACACAAGATGTAAAATGTTCAAGTCCTGTCTATATAAGTGTATGTACCAGTTTTAAAGAGTCCTTATAGAGATTTGTATATAATTATAAATGTAAGTCATATATATATATATTAAGTCCTTATGCAGACTTGTATATAGAACTGTAACTGTATGTATGTACCAGCAGATAGTTTGTCCTTTCTGTTTGTAAGTCTGGAGATGTAGCCACCAGTAGTAAAATAAATGAGTTCAGTGCAAGAGGTTAACCCCTTGAATGGCCTCTTAACATCTGACTAATGCAAAGAGAATGGTAAAAAAAAAATACGGTTTAACTAAGGAGAAAAAAGCCTTCTCTTGTGAATTGAAACATTGATATCTTAAAAAAAGCACTGTTTATCTGTAAGGTTGAACTTTCAGGCAGACATTGGGCACTGGGTATGATATTAATATCTTCTGTAGCATGTGCTGATAACACCACTGTCATCACTGACCAAAAGCTATCAAACACATCATTATTGGAAAACTGACCAGAACGGAAGTTGTACTTATTTTATCTCTTATTTATGAACATATCTTCATTCCATTTTCTACTAGACCTGGTTGATGATTACTAAGTCACCTATCATGTGAAAATTTAAAATTCACACAAAATTCAAAAGGAAATGAATTAACATTCACCTCCTTCAGTTTTCTGATTTCACAAAACTTTTAATTATAAATCACTTGTGTATCTGAGTGTGCAGCTCACCACACCACATTAGCTACAAACATCGTTCACTTATCCCGACAATTTATTATACAATGATCATATTTCAGCCCCCATACTTTATAGGTATAAATCCTAACCCTTATACACACACATATGGACAGTTCTCTACTATTAAAATGTTCTCCTTTTCAACCCTAGAACAGGGTAGAACACACACGATATACCTGACAACAGTCTAGTTCAGTATGACCTTTTGAATTCTTATTTCTGATTTGATTTTATAATTCTCTATTAAAATATGATTGTTGATCTAAAAATCTGGCCGATGGTCAAAACCTGCTGGAAATACAATACTGAGTGATCTACTCGACATGGAATAGGTAGTTTTACATTCTAATTTCAGATAAATCTGACCAAAAGTCTGGCCGGATGTCAAGAATGGCCTAGGCCAAAGTGTTTGAGATGGTCTGTAGATTAGTGCTCTTGGCTGTAAGTGACCCAGGTGCGCCTCTACGTCAGGTCTAATTACAGGTGAAAAGGCCCTGGTGTAGGTGGATAAATCTCACCCAATGGCACACACTAAAACAATGTCTGGTGCCTTGTACAAACTTTCCTATAACTTTCTAACAAATGGAATATCAGAAAGCTCAGATTTTGATTCTTTAAAGGATAATATCAGTGCCTGGAATTTAAAAATAAAAACTAATTTTGTAAAGGATGTTCCTATCCAAAAGCAAACATTTTTCATACAGGCCTGACATCCAAATTACTCTTAATCAAATATCTCAATTATGCCAAGTGTAATTTTGTATACATATATCTTTAAAGCCTCTGTTTGTACTTATAACATCCATTTTAAATTTCACATTTTATTTCAGATAGCAAAATGTTACTGATTTGCAGCTGCAAGAGAAATGGAGTCTTCTTTTACATGTTTCCCACATCCTGACCTGTCTGGAATACAGTAGTTCCTGATTACACCTGGAGCCCAAACTAAGCTACTGTTGTTAACTAAATTAATCTATCTCGTCCAAATAATGTTCTCAATGTAAACATCTCCCACCCCACTGGGTTTCTCACCACCGCTGACTCACATACCCAACACAAACTTTCTACTTCAGCTAACTTTCCTTCAGAACATGTAACAGCAAATCATTGTGGACCTTTACCAACATATCAAGGGTTTTATAGATAGGGCTGGTTTAATTCACTCTCTTCAATTTTAATTGCGATGAGATGAATTATTTCTATATAGCGTCATAAAAACAAATTAATAACAAGACAATTGACAGGTAAGTAATGGTGTAACAGTGTGTCAGACATACATATTCCATAATAGTGAAGGAGGAACCACATAAGGATTACAAATAAAGCATTACACACTTTATATATGACAAGTATCACCAGAAATAAAGGATCAACATCAGCCCAGTAGATATAAACTGTTGCAATCAGAAGCCACAATGGCCATATTGGATTTTAGAATTTCTGTAAAATGTCCTAAATCACCAGTTAGTCTAAACACCAAGTACCATTCACAGAAGATGGTGCCAATCTTTGATTATGGATCCATCTAATCTTGGATTTTTTCAACCCATCTCCACACTATTATCTGTACAGGATTGGTATTCTTACCACTACCCTTAGACATAACACAAAGTATATTTATTGCTCTTTCTAAATTTGTAGAATAACACCTGGATCCTATACAGTGACACGATACACCAAGTCAACTCCTTATAGTTATTGTCTACCTGACAAATCTCAGCCACAATAACACAGCTAGATCTGGTTATCAAATTCCTCACATTCTCAGGGAGGGGCGCTTGTCCTGTCTGGAAACAATGGTCAGCGAATGACCAGCTCCTCCAGGAACAATACCAGCTGGTACAGGGGGAGGAGTACCTGCCCACTGTGTTTATTGAAGAGGATTTAATCATTTATTCTCTGCTCCAAATATTTTACAAGTCTTCTGCTCTACCACACTAGAGGAGAGGCCCTTGTGTCACAACATTCACAAAGAAATTCTCTGTGTCAGAATGTCTTACAGATAGGTTGGCACTATCTCCTAGCATAATTTTGTGATTGTGTTAGTAAATTACATATCAAAACAGTTGCTTTTTTTTTGTTCATACTTGATTTTCCTAAACTTTATATTACTCACAATACATCAATGTCTGTTAATAAGCCCAAAACTTTATTACTGTCCAGTCGTAAGCTCATCCCTTACTTTGAGTCATCTGTCACAAGCCCAGTTCCTACTTTGAGTCGTCCGTCATAAGTTCATCCCCTACTTTGAATCATCTGTAATAAGCTGCCAACTTCCCACTTTCGTTGAGTAAGAGAGTATATGTGTTTGCCTCTAGGGTTTAATGCAGGATAAATATGGTACCCCTCTTAACAACTACCTCACAATAAAGATCCCACTGTACCATGGGTACCAAACACAAAGTAAAACATCAACAATGATCATATGTACTTTTAATGCTATACATTCTTCTTTCACCCATAAATATGTTATTAGCATCAGATGCTGGAATGGAAATTACATTGCTTCTATGAGGTATTGAAAAGGAGCCTAAGGACAGTTTACAACTGCTGCAGAGATTTTCCTAGACCACACAGAAGGGTCATGGCTTCTTGTTTTGGACGATTTTCCTTACATAAACTTGCCACCCCGTAAACGCATGATTGACAGGTCTGGTATTCCGGGTTAATGATGTGTATAGCATGTCCCGCCCCAAATCCCACATGATAAAATCACGCAATATCGCCTGCACACTCTACCCTCGTCACGGGAAAACTGATACCAAGCTTTTTATGCTTCATTTCAATAGAAAAAACGCAGGCTTTTGTCAAGAAATTTAAGATTATGGGTAGAAAAATCTTTATCTTGTAATGGAATGAACTCTTCTGCTGTTTGCAATTGTTAATCATTTTACTTCAAATTATTTTCTACCCTGAATGCAATGAAATATTGATTTAGGCATTTGCATTCTAGACAATGTTCAATCCTAATTAATGTTGGCAAAATTTTTGAAAGAAACAAAATTGACTATTTCCTTGTACATAGCCAGAGTTAAATGATGTGTGTACTGAAATTAGTAACAATAGAACTAAAACATGATAAGTACACAGCATTACTACAATAAGATAAAATAATGAAAATAAAGCAGACAAATCTCCAGCATATAAGTTGATATTATGTTTCTGACTAGATATTACAATGATTAGAATACATCAATATGGCTAGATATTACAATATGACTAGATATATCATGATATGACTAAGTATTACAATATGTAAGTAACAATAATATAGATAATAAACTGATTTTCATTCTTAATTGAGTTTTTACCAGCTTAACATTAAACTGATAACAAGTGGGTACACATGATACACACTGGTACACAATCATTATATTTAATCAGTGGTACAAAATCATTGGTACACAATGGTACACCATCACTATATACCTAATCTGTGGTACACAATCATTGGTACACAATTGTACACCATCACTATATACCTAATCTGTGTTCCTCAATCATTGGTACACAATGGTACACCATCACTATATACCTAATCTGTGGTCCTCAATCATTGGTACACAATGGTACACCATCACTATATACCTAATCAGTGGTACACAATCATTGGTACACAATGGTACACCAACACTATATACCTAATCAGTGGTACACAATCATTGGTACACAATGGTACACCATCACTATATACCTAATCAGTGGTACACAATCATTGGTACACAATGGTACACCATCACTATATACCTAATCTGTGTTCCTCAATCATTGGTACACAATGGTACACCATCACTATATACCTAATCTGTGGTCCTCAATCATTGGTACACAATGGTACACCATCACTATATACCTAATCAGTGGTACACAATCATTGGTACGCAATGGTACACCAACAATATATACCTAATCAGTGGTACACAATCATTGGTACACAATGGTACACCATCACTATATACCTAATCAGTGGTACACAATCATTGGTACACAATGGTACACCATCACTATATACCTAATCTGTGTTCCTCAATCATTGGTACACAATGGTACACCATCACTATATACCTAATCAGTGGTACACAATCATTGGTACACAATGGTACACCATCACTATATACCTAATCTGTGTTCCTCAATCATTGGTACACAATGGTACACCAACACTATATACCTAATCTGTGGTACACAATCATTGGTACACAATGGTACACCAACACTATATACCTAATCAGTGGTACACAATCATTGGTACACAATGGTACACCATCACTATATACCTAATCTGTGGTACACAATCATTGGTACACAATGGTACACCAACACTATATACCCAACTTTAAATGTGACTGCTATCATTTACCACCAACATAATGGAATTTAACTCTGTAAGTGCAAATATCAGTAATTATGTATATTGCCAATTGTAATGTATGACAGACAATTTCCATTGGATTGCTGTGTTGGGTTTCCACACATCTACCACTCCCCATCTAGTACTATCAGTAATAATCAGGATATTGTCAGAAAATGTCCCCAAAGGCTTATCTATATTTGTACCTACAAATCAATGTGGGTATTTTTTTGCTCATCTCATTTTGTCGCAGACACGATCGCCATGTGTGTTCCCCAAGGCGACGGTATTAATGCTTATGGTGGTCATACTTTTCCTCTTTACATATTACCTCACTCGTCAACTTTGCCTTTATTAGCTCTTACAGTATATATCCGACAATTTTGATATCTTTTGAAACTTAAAACTATGAGCATTCAAATAAATTTAAAATTAGATCTGCATTTCTCCTCATGTCTCATAACACGGTGAACAGAACAGGAGTATTAAAAGCATGAAAAACGAAGTGCAACAGTCCTGAAACAGGTTGACCTTGCACCCAGAACAAGGCAAGCAACCTGAAAATAGGTGACCAGGAGCCAGAAGAGGGAGATGAACCCAAAGCAGGTTGAGCAAGAACATGGAATAGGGCAAGCTCTGTTAAAGCTTGGCAAGAAAAGACATCACGGAATTTGAGAAATTTTTCTTCTGTGTTAATCAGGATTTTTATTTCTTAAGATCTTGATAAAAGAAATGGAAAACTAGAGCAAAGTCCCTGGAACAATGTAAGTGTTTGGGGCTACAATCAAAATGAGAACAAAAACTAAAAAACAAACAAAAATAAAAAATGAAATATGTTTCAAATAAAATGGTTAACAGAGATCACAAATAAAGGACAGCTACAGTAGTATGCTTACCTTGATGATGGTATTGCGTACAGACCGGTCGAACTTCTCACAAAACTCCTCAATAGCACTCAGGGATTTGGACGTACTCTTCGTGTGCTTATCTTGTTCTTGGCGACTTCGGATTTTTTCTGGAATGAGATAATTACATCAATCAATCAGGCAAAATGATAAAGAATGGCATCAAGTCCATAAATTTTCATTACTTGATTTTCATTTACAAAACAGAAGTTTTTATCAAAATCTGTATTTTTTTGAGAATGTTGCAGATGTGAGGTAATACAAGTAGTGATATAGTAAATAAAACAATAGATAATTTATCCCAAACAATTATCATATTCAGAGGATCTATAGAAGGGACAGGAATCACATGTTCAGCACTGTTTGGCCTTGTCAACTTTGCATTTATACAACTCAATTTTCAGAAATTTCTATAAAAATCAATGCGTCCTTCCCACTTCTGTAGGTGAAACTTTTGTTCCTAGTCCTTTAGCCTTATCATGTCTGGTGATAAGTACAAATCAATGGCACAGTTTGGCCGTTCAAAAAGAAACAATTTTAAAAAATCAATTTCTACTTTATCAAATCAACAAAGGTAGGGCATGAGCAGTTCAGAACAACTAATTACATCTGCAAGGCAAAAGTGCGAAAAAACGTATCCAGCAATGTCAACAATTTATTGCCTAATGAGTGTGTCTATTATTAATACACAAGTATGCAGTATCTTTTTATTGTCCCAGAGTCACACTACTGTATTAGAGGAGCATTTGCTGGTAAGACTTGTTTCTGAACAGGTACTTCTGGGGAATTTATATCATAAAGCAATAACTTAGAAATTTAGATATTTCTGTTACTTCCATCTATTTAGATGAATATTTAAAAAATCAATGACTTGACAAAAACCAACAAAAACACTGGTGTGTGTGAAATTGAACTTCTTTTAGAAAAAACTCACCTATAAGGCACGTGTGAGCATATTTGAGAGCATCCATGACAACACTTTCCACAGAAAAGTTTGTTTGATAATTTCCGGACGGAGGATTACGATGAAGGAAGTTTTGTAATAATTTGTCAAATTCTGCAGGCAAGTTACTAATGAGTTGGTATGGAAAAGAAGGAGAATTAAAGTTCATGTCTGCGATGATGAGATCTCGGAGTAATGGGAACAGTGGATGAGATCTAAACGCATTAGATCTGTCTGTGATGAGATGCTGAATAAAAGTCTGTTGTGAAGCGAGCATCGGTGGGCGATGCGGGGACCCAGTTTTACAACTTTGACAGTTTGGTGTTGTACACTGAGGCATGGCCCCACCCTGCATGGGGTTTTGGTTTCCTGGAGTACCAGGGATAGGCATACCACCCATGCCTGGGTGTTGCTGTTGTTGTTGGGGCACCTTAGGATGGACGCCCATATGAGGTTGTGGGGTCTGTGGTGTGGCACCTGCCCATACTGGGTTGTTCCCTGTTCCAGGTCCCATGTTAGCCTGACTAAGTTGTGGCTGAGAGTTCTGGTACATGGGATTATTGTTGTCAGGGACACCCTGTAACCGACTGTATTCTGGTGGGATACCACTTTGATTTGGCGGCATCATCTGAGCACTGGAGGTCATGGCATTCATGTGTAGAGGTCGTGGTGCATTATTGCCACACGGTACCCCTGACATGAAGTTTTGCCGCTGGAAACCTTGTCCCTGCTGCTGACCAATCATCCCTTGTGGTGTCCCTTGATTGGAGCTTACCTGGGGCCCACTCATTATTTTAGGAGTACCCTGATTCATCATGCCACAACTGGAGTTCATGTTTTGTCCTTGGGAGGTTCTGAACCCATTATCACAGTAATTTTCCATGTTTGGATTTGCCATATTAGCAGTAAGTTTGTAATGATCTGTCTCTTGTAAAGAATTTGGATACATCTGACCACGTCCAGGCAGGTTAGATTGTTGTTGCATACCATACTGGCCTTGACTCCCATCAAAGTGAGAGAGAGGCTGCATCCCAATAGGTGCGCCTCCAGAACATGACACACGGAAATCCGGATCAGGAATTTCACCATTTGGTTGTTGCATAGCATTGTTCACATTATTATTTAAAGAATTATTCATACTATTATTCACAGAATTATTGAAATTATTGAGATGCATGGAGTTCTGGTTATTGTCCACACCACACATGTCACCAGTCTTGTGCTGAGGAGGGAACTCAAACTGTTGCATAGGTGCCATAGGGTTATCACCACTGTTGGGACGGCTGTTACTACGACCATCATATCTGTACGGACTCATAGCTACCTGTCCGTTCACACCAGGAACAGTATATGGTGCAATTTCAGATTTCATGCTAGGTGTAAGACGAGGTAAAATCTTATTGGAGTTCATGGCTCCCCTATGGTTAGGGTCTCTAAATTCGTTTTCTACATCACAGTCTGAAGAAACATTGGGATCATATCCTGGACCATATCCCATACTATCATTGGAACGCTGTCGTTGCAATGGAGGCACATTTTGATCACCGGGTAGATCTGCGAAATGAACACTTTTTTGACCACAGCCAGGTCCCTGATTTGGGGGACCCTGTCGAAGATGCATAGAATTCTGCACATCATTAGCCACAGAGGGCGGTACAGAAGATGGCACAGTTGATGATACAGAAGAAGAACCATAGCTACGGACACTAGCTGTGTCTCCAGAGAAATATCCCTGATCAAGTGGAGATTCAAGAGATCTGCCATACTGTTGTGTCTGTGGAGGGTATCCAGGTCGTCCCATGTTACCCATAGAACAGGCTGGGTTATTCATTGGACCTGCAGAAGAGTTGCACATATTCCACTTCTGTTGTTGATATGTGCTATGTGGGGTCTGCATATTTTGAACATTGACGTTTGGCGGGGCAGGACGGCCCAAACGCTGGTAGTTATGGGGTACCCCACCCTGCCTTTGTGCACCTGGAGGTACGCTTCCCTTCTGGGGCATCATTTGGGGAATGCCTGACTGGGTGTACATGCTGTTCTGTGACATACTCTGACTATAGGATGGTGGTTGTTTCTGTGAAGGTGAGGATGGCACTGCGTTCTGTGTAGTTTGAGGGGACACGCTGCGTGGGGGTAGAGGGGAATGCTGAGGTCCCTGGGTGCTAGAAATACTAGGTGATGCAATGCTCTGGGAGGACGGCCTTCTTGGGGTAGGGGGAGTCTGTGGTGCTTTGAACATTTCCGATGGCATTAATGGTGCATTGACTCTCACTGGGCTTGTTGGTCCAGATGTTGATGCATGGAAGCGTTTTGCTGCAGGGCTATTTGACCCACTGGAGGTCGCCACTGTACAGTTTGTGGTTGATGCTTGAGAATATGTGGTGTTGGGACTTCCACATGTACGGTTATTCACAATCTCAGTCTTTGGTGTGGACAGAACGCCTGATTGTGACACTGATGTACATGCTGTGGAGGCCAGTGTATTACGAATGGCTTCCGGTGTCATGTACACCTGTGGGTCCACCATGTCTTGTTCCATGAGAAACTCCACAAAATCGAGCTCCATGCCCTCCTTCATTCCAATATCCTCACATATCTCATCGAGGAGTTCATTGGGGAGACGTTCATCATCCATTTCCTGAGGAGGTATAGGAGGAGGCGAGTCTGGGGTTGTAGGATCCATGTTGTCCATGTTGAGGGAGTGGACACTTGAGGCCCCGGGACTGGACGGGGCTTCTCGGTACTCCATCAGCTGAAACATACAAGACTGGCATAAGTATTCAGTCAAAAGCATATAACTATTACAGACTTGCCATGTTTAATGCTGCGCAATAGGAGCTGGGAAGGGGCACTATGTAAAATGATTGCAGGACAATATAGATAAACACGTAGTTGCTGTCAATTTTGACATCTAGAATATCTTGACTAATTCTCTGTTAACTTAACTTTTTCATGTTCTTTACATTATATAATTGTAACAGCACAGCTTTTAGATACACAGAACAGAAAAGCTTCATTTACCCAGAAATGCTATCAGCCTCCTCAATGCCAAGTTTAAACCTTTGACAATTTGATACCGTTATTGGAATGCTTTCAAAATCTTAGTCTATTAACAATTAAAGAAAACAGTGAAGACAAAACTGATATCTATAATTTTCACTTTCATTAAATGTAAAAGCAAAATACAAAAAAACTAAAATCAGAATGTTATTATTTAACCTTTATGACAGGGGACTATTGACTATGTTAATCTTTGATAGAAAACCTTGCTAAGAGAAATCTTATCATATGTCCAGATGAAGTGTGTACCTAGATCTCCAGTTCACCAGTACATATCAAGCTAGGCTAATATTGTAATTCATTTGTGCATGCCAAGTCAGTAGCACAGTGAATTATTTACCTCCAACAAATTAGATCCTCACCTTGCAATAAATTTACCTGGCCAGGTGAAGAAACAACATTGGTACAGGCGAGAAAATAATGACAAATCTACTGCTACACAGGTGTGCAAAACACAACAAGTTCTCTTTTAATTTCATACATTAACCACAAGAAAAAATTAATTAAAAATTCATGCATTACCAGGAAGTACAGTGGAACATCTTCAAACCAGGGAAATGAAGATTTGGACTGTTTAGAAAGAGAATGGTTTGCAGAAGTGAACAAAGTTGACCTGTCCAAATCCGACTTTTTCTGTACAATACATTATATAAATTTATCCATGTCTTTAGTTTGCTTTGAACACTGATACTGTACAGGTTGTGAATGCAGAAAGAAACTATTGCAAACTAGATGCAAAACTACAGCTCTTTCTAGCTCTGTATAAAAACACCTATTTGTTTTCATCTGTAGCCCTTACTCGCTTTAGTGAAAAAATAACTTTGTTCAATATGATTCATCTTGTCAGATGATTTTTAAACACCATGTTAATTATGAACTGGGTAGGTATTATATGCAGAGCCTATCGAGGACAAGCATGTGCCCGAGGTACAAAGTGTACGGCTCTCGTTACAGGTGTTCATTTCACAGTCTGCTGGTCAAAACTGGTAAGTTGATAGCTGAGGTAAGGCCAATCTTCATGAGTAATTGGTATTCAACTGAGGAAGATCTGTTATAGAATGTTTCTTAAATGAAATAATTGAAAGACACAATTCTGTCATTATCATTTTGTTTGGTTTTAGAAAAAGTGATCAGTTTTGAGTATTGCTTTATGAAAGTTGCACTGTACATTATTCCCACTTTAAATATAGCAAACTGAAAATCTTTTATAATATTTTGTGTGCATGTTTTTTTTTTTAAAGGAACCTTTTTCTTTCTGATGTAGTAGAAGTGAAATTCACTTTTAGATAATTTTCTTTTCAATGTTGTTCTCTGTTTTAATTAATAAAGGGAAATCATGCGGTACTATTCTAAATCACTTAATTTGAATGCGGACGAGGAAAGTCAATTGTTTGACTGGACAGGCTTTTTAAACCTCAGAAGACCTGAAACTGGCAGATGAGACTCCAGACATTAGTTTGTTGTGAATTAGATAAAATACAGACCTATTGCAATCCAAGACAATTGTTTTGGCCTGAGTGTATATAAGGACATGAATTTGCTTGGCCTAAGTGACCTGGCTATAGTACATACAACCTGGGCAATCCAGACAATACCACAAGCCAGACCAATCGTCCTAGTCCTGATTCAAGCACCACAGGTGATGAAAGTTCTTTTCCTGTGATTAGCGGAAATATTAATGAGCCAAACTAGCTGATCTGTTGAATATAATCATGCAGGTAGTGTTGCTAATGCCCAAACAGTTCATACACAAATGACAAAGGGATTACATCCGAACTATGAAACCTATAGACTGTAAATTGCTTTCCAAACTCAGATAAATTACTGTTATCTAAAACAGAAAATATCCTATCCCTTAGTTCCACTTATATAAATGGTAAGGGGGGACAGGACCAAACTGGAATCCAGCAGAAGAAATTGTGATTTTATGCCATGGGACACATATGGATAACACTAAACTGTTTCTTTCCCATAAAAATGCAAGGGCATACAAATAGTTTCTTGTTCAAAAACACCTGTACATATATGTCTCTTAACTACAGCTACCTCAGAGGTTTGACTGGAGTGGCATTTCACCAAGGAAAGAATACAGGAAGCCAAAAAATTCTGTCACTGAATTATACAAATGGAGACGTGACAAAGTGAATGGATCCAATCATTACAACTAAAGAAGTTCAGAGAAGACCAATGTAATTCAGATCAGTCCCCACACATCATCAAGTTTTAAAAACTAACGAACATTATACTTTTTTAATATAAACAGAAATTTGTTCACTCCATCAATAATAGCTAAGATGAACATTTGCAAGTTTACCATAAAAAAAACAATTATGCATTTAAAAAGATTGAAAGATGTTTAATATCTGGTTTTTTTATGACTAGAACAAAATAAGGTAACCATGCTTTTAAAACTACATATTGTCAACCTTGGGCTTTCACCGCAGCAATTCAACATTTAACAAAGGGTTATAATCCTGCTACTATAAATAAAAAAGGCTGTGGAGAGACTACATTTTAATGACATACACTCCAGCATGAATGGGAAAAGGTCAGATCTTCCTACTCTCCTATAAAAATGAAGGCTATAGGTTTGTCATAAAAAGCCTCATGAGAAACTGTCTGGTTTTAAATTTTTCAAGAAGCCATTCCTTTTACAATCATAGGTAAAAATTGATATATAATGTTAACTCCATGGTGTAAAATATCAACATTAAACTTGTGTCATAAATCAAACAAAAACTATCTTAACGTTACCTTGAGCTGACAACCCTCAAATATAGCTATCTTCATACTGGTAAAAAATAAATAAACTAAACAGAACAAAACAAAAAAAAAGCAACATCACCCACAGAAATCTTTTTCCAAATCTTATTTTTCTAAGAACAAGTCCCTGATCCTTTGTATTTGACTAGACCGTTAGGTTAACAGGTACAAGCACATCAGAATAGAATAAAATCAAGGTATTTTGTAAAATCACGAAATGAATTTCTTTCTTTTCTCCCACTAGTAAGAATCATACTCTGGTTACTATAGTTGCTGGCCTGTCAAATCTGGTGCTGGTTTTACACTCGACATCATAAACATTAGATTGTATCCCAATTAATCAACAAGACTATCTTCAAATTACTCAAGTCCCACATAACCTAGCCATCAAATGCCATACACTTTCAAAATTTAATATACTAACAATTTTATTGCAAATCCCTAACAGACTTTCTGTGATATGGATGAAACATATCACACATACTTGTGTGTACGTTATTCTAAATAAGAAGAACTTCAAAGATTCAATTTTGAATTTTGAATGAAAAATAGATACAAACATGTTCTATCAGTACTAATTATCATCATATTGCGTTGTATTGTCAAGAATTTGGTAGAAATAAAACTTCACAGTCAAAGAAGAATGAATAATCCATATTACACAGCACTGACCCTGTAGTTAAGTTTCTGGACTACACAGCTGTACAAAATGATAACCAACATTGAGGGAAGTATTCTTGGGGATACAGAAGAAAGGAGACTTGTTACTTCAGACTGGGTTCAATACTGAGGCTACATGGACTTAAAGTCTGGTATACTTGACTTACAAGTAAGGTTTTCACCAAGCACACATCCTCTTAATTTTGTATGCCAAGACTTGTGGGTCATGCATAAAAACACATGATGCACAGGATGCATAATTTTTCCAATTAGAGACAGAGGAAGTTGTCGGGATAATTACAGTTATATAATAAACCAATATGGACTGTGCTAGTCTAGTTACCCTATGTGAAACAGAGATACCACTGATTCAAACTTGCTAATCATTACTACAAGGTTGCATGAGGTCAAGACGACACATCCTTTAGAGATGTGGTTATCTCCCCCTAACAAGATCGCAGCAATATAGCTCATTTCCGCACATTGAAGTGTCCTTCTGTCCCAACCACAACAAAGACAAAACATGACATCCTTGTATGATACAGTTGTTGAAATCCCAATCAGCTGACCCAACAGATAAGTCCCCTCCAGTCTGTACACTGCCTGGGAGGGTGCTGCAGCCTTATTACAAGACATTTGGAAGTAAGCCTTAAATTCCACAAATACTTATACTAGGAGCCATTTATCCTAATTTCCTATCATAAAACTTAACTAGATAAGTCAAAGATGTAACTGGAAAGCTATAAGAAAAGTCAACTATATAATATTTACCAACAAGAATACCATGTATAAGAACAAATGCCTGCCCCATGCCATAGAAATACTCAGTATGTTTTGAGGATAAACATTTCAAGTTTTAAACTGAATAAAAAAGGGGAGAAACACTTAAAAATATTGCTGAATCTAATTACTAATAATTAAACTCACGTTATGGTATTAAAGCCTACCAACTTTAAAAGAAATAGATTAGAAACTGAGGGAGAACATATCCAGGTAAGATTAAAAAATACTTGAAAAAGCAAGGAAATAATTTCTGACAACTGCAAGTTCACAAGACCATTAAGGAAAACTATTTCATGTAATGGTTTTTCACCAGAAACTCCTTTCCTCAACCACCCAAACCTGGCATGTCTTTAAATGACCCCAACTGTTCATAGGATGTAAAGCAACAATTAACAAGCATGTAATGGTTATAAATCCCACCAAGATTCAAAGAAATTGGTTAAAGACTGTGAGGGAGCAGACTCCATGCCAGATTAAAATGCTGTA